GATGCAAAAACGACGTCGTTTTATTAAAACGCGCGTCTCCTCTTTAAAAAAAAAATTCAGGTTTGATTCCTAGTAACAACATTATTTTGTTCATTCATTATGGAATTTTAGTTCATGGATTATGGAATTATAGTTCATCGATTCTGGAATTATAGTTCATCGATTCTGAAATTTTAGTTCATAGATTCTGGAATTTTAGTTCATTCATTCTGAAAATTTTAGTTCATAGATTAGATTATGGAATTATAGTTCATCAATTATGGAATTATAGTTCATCGATTATGGAATTATAGTTCATCGATTATGGAATTATAATTCATCGATTATGGAATTATAGTTTCGAACCTAATTTTTTTTTTTAAGGGGGGACGCGCGTTTTATAAAAACGACGTCGTTTTTTCATCTGTATGCACCATGCTTGGTGCATACGGATGCACAGCATAATTTGCCGTTGGTATGGTGTATAGCTTTGTGACAAAACTATTGGTAATATATTAAGCTTCCCCTTTAAGTTGACAATACATCATAACTCTCTGGCGGCATAATGTGCTCGATGTATAATTTTTCGTTGTGTTAAGTTTTCTTATTTAACAAGATGAATTGTTTCAATTTGGATTTTGGACCACTCTCTATATTGACTATTGGATTGGACCACAAGTCATTAGTTAGAAATCTACTATACTAATAAGAGCCCGTATAGTAAGACCCCAAGAGAGTTAGGCCTATAATGGGTAGAAAAAATGACGGTCACAGATTTTAATCAAATGTATGGCTCAGATTGATTAAAAGATTGATTAGATTTAAATTTTACACTAAAATTTTCTAAAATACCCACACACCGTTACTAATTCTGTTAAAATTTTAAGAATTGTCGTTAGTTCACTGTTAACTTATTCATTGATTTCAATAAAAAAGGTCTTAGGTTCGAACCTCATCCCAATCAAAGTTGGCATAATTAGTACTCTATTTTACTCTTATTAAATTATATAAATAATAATTTAGTAGTTACAACGAAAAATAATATATATGCATTTCTTTAATTTAGAATTATGTGTTCACAATGTCTTTATTCAAAAAAAAAATTATTCATTATCAATAAATTAAATAAGAGAAATAATTTTATTAGTTATATTGTCTTTATTTTTCTTCAATATAAAAATTCTTTATATTCAAATTTATTAATTGATTATATTCGCTACATTATCCTTACAATGTCTTTATTCAGTGAAAAAAATTATTAATTATCAATAAATTAATTAAAAGAAATATTTTCATTAGTTATATTGTCTTTATTTTTTTCAAATGTAAAAATTTTTACATTCAAATTCATCAATTGATTATATTCACTACATTATCTATTATCTTTTTTGTGCACTATTTTTCTAATTAAATATCAAAGTTATAATACAAAATAATGCTATATATTTATTTACCAAGTATTTCATTAATACCATGAAAAAATTAAAAAAAATATAATTAATAAAGCCAACCATATTAACTACTTGAGACATTCAAAAAAATATTAACTACTTGAGAGATTTTGTGACAAAGAGAGTATTCAAATCACACAACAAATTGAAGTGAGAACTGCCTCGCAATGTCCTTGTTTGACAATCAGCAGTTAACGGATTATACTAGCGGATTTGACCAGCGAATTTATTTAATTATTAACATTGGTTAGAAAAAATGACCGCCAAATTATTAAATCAAATGAATGGTTCATATTGTTCAGGTTTTAAATTTTTTTCTTTTAAGATTTTATAATTTATCCTTAATTATATGATTATCCATTTAACTTTTCCGTTAATTCACCGTTAGTCTAATTCTAATATTAAAGTCTAATATAGAATTATAACTACATCATTAATTTAATTCTAATATTAAAGTCTTAATAGAACTTGACCACAAATCCTAATGTCGGAATCTCCTCAAACAATATTAGTATATATTTAATATTTTATGCCCTAATTTTTATTTGTTTTTCCTTATGTCCCATATTTGGTTTCAACCATACCTATACAATTATTTTATTGACAATTATAATCAATCTTGACTATATTATCTTGCATTTGTAAACTTAGAATTACCTATTTAACCCGCACGGGCTTAGCTCAATGGTTTAGTGGGTAGTATTTGGGAGAAGAGACCAAGGTTTAATTTGAACCTCGGCAGCGGCAGTGCAGGAATTATGTCCAAAGTGGGCGGATTCCTTGTGCGTATCAGCATTTGGCCCTGTCTGCTGAACCATTGAGTCACCATGATTTTCAACTTCCCACAATGCTCTGTCGGGTCGGAGTGTGGGGGGCCCTTGGGGTTGGGGACTCAACCTTTGGGAGAAGAATTACCTATTTAAATACGCAAATTCAACCTTCAATTATCTATGCATGAACAATTTCAATATAATCCTGCCTTAATATACTTTAAAGTACTTATTTTAAAAAAAAAATTGAGCATTATCCAATCGCGCAATGCGCATAAAAAACTAGTTGTTAATATATACTCCGTATCGACAATTACAATCCTTTATATAATAAAGCTATATGGTTTGGGAAATAATTAATGTTACAATTAATGCCACAACATCCTTTATTATATATATATAAAAAAAAAAAAGCACAACATTTAAAAAATAAAATAGCTATATATTATATAATCATATAAAAAATATACTTTTGAAAAATAAAATAGCTATATATTATATAATCATATAAAAATGTATTCAATTAGAGTTTAAATTTATACATATAAAATTTGAAATTTGTTTTCCAAATGTAATTATCTTAGTTATTATTCGTATTGTGAAAATTATAATATAGATGAAATACAATTAAGAATAAATCAATGTAATTATGTAAATTCTCTCTATAAGTTTATTTGAATATGCACATAATTAGAGATTATATTAACCATACAAAATTATAATCTTAATTTTAATTTTAATTATAATTTTGTATTCTATAAAAATAATAAATACTTGACCAATGGAAGCTCAAAAATATTATTATATTATATAATTTAAAATATTTTAGTTTTTCTATTTTTTATTTATATTTATAATAAAATAAACTTTTTCCGTGCATCGCGCGGGTGAATTACTAGTTTTAATAAAAACTAATAAAATTAGACTTTTAACCGGAACAAAGAAAAATATTAGTATAAAATTGTCTATTTAAATAAATGATTGATATTATTTCTGTATAAATATTTTAAACTATTTTCCCAACATACTCTTAATTAGTAATAATTTTTCTCTTAAATGACCCTAAGCTCCGTTAATGTTTCTCCTAGGAGAAAGAAAGGGAAATGACATATTTTTTGGACCGAAAGAAAATTAGACCCCAAAGAGTCCTTCTTTACCACTTCTCTGACGACCGTGTGGTAAGGACGGCTTCATCGTCTAAATAAGTCAATGGAATTAACCTAGCTAAAATAACCCATCAGCCTCTGCCGACTACCGAACAGTTGTGGCGCGAAGGAAATCCGGCAGAATTGTCCTCTTCCGGCCTTCTTGTACGGTTAAAGGTGGCTTCTCATGGCCTTGATCGAAGTTCCAAGGTGCTTCGTCAAACATCTGTTGCTGCCTTTTTCATTCTTTAGCTTCAATCATTGTCATATCAATGTTCTAATAGAGGTATGTTGCTGAAGTTGGATTATGCAGTCAATTCATCTCACTATTTTCTTTCTTTAACAATTTATAGTTATCTTAATTCGATTTTATGGTACAAACAGGTAAAAGAATTCTAAAACTTGTGTCAGATGCTAAGAGAATTCGATTTTATAGCGTTGATGTCTATATCCATTGGTAGGGTTGAATGAATCGAGTTTTAATATAATTTGTTTACTTTTATTTGCATAATCCAAATGAATGAAAGTTATAGTTATATAATTGTCAACTTTAGTTAGTGGTTTATTTGTTTTTACTTTAGCTGTTTTTTTTTGAAAGTTACTGGTTTCATTACATTATAGTATGTAACGCCTCTATCAAGGCTTGAACTCATAATCTTCCAAATGGAAGTTCAACCCGGGTACCATTAGACCATATAGTCCTGGTGTTTTTACTCTAGTTATAATTTAGTTATTTTTAATTTCTTTATCTTTTATCAAAATATACGGAGTAAGAGATTTTAGCATTTTTCTCTCTCTCATTATTATATGACTATTTTAACCAATTAGGGACCGTTTGGTTCGCAGAATGTTAGATTATCTAGATTGTTGAGAATGTTAGATTACTGGGAATGTTAGATTCTTTTGTTTGGTTAAAATTGAGGAACGTAATATAATCACGTTTGGTTTAGGGTTATATATATATATATATATATATATATATATATATATATCCTTAACATATTTTCATATATTTTAATAAATATAAAAATTAAATAAAATAAATAAGATAACGGTGTCATATATAATTACATGATTTTAAAATATTAACTAAAATCTTGAACTTGAGAAACAAAATTATTTTATATGCTAACATAACGTAATAAAAAATATATAATATAATAATAATAATAATAATATAATAATAATAATAATAATAATAATAATAATAATATTAAGCTAACATAAAATATATATCTTTAAATAATTAGAATTAAAATGACAAAATTTATAAAATCTAAGGTTATCTTACATTACCTAACAAAATGAAGGGAATCACATTCCCTTTAAAATCCTATGTGGAGGGAGTGTTGCATTCCCTGTGAATGTTATATTCCCTCAGAGAATATGAACCAAACATAGGAATGTAAGCTCGAGAATGTCACATTCCCTTGGTTATGTAATATAACCTGAACCAAACGCCCCCTTAAGGAATATTAATTTAACAATATACATTGGACCTTGGTCTAATCGCGCAACGCCCGTGTGATAACTAGTATGTTTATAAAAATAAATAAATTGTAAATGTTGACATTTTAACTAAACATTAAGAAAAAAAAAAAAACGTAAGAAAAAAGAAAAAGAGGAGCAGAAAATAACAGTTGAGTTATGAGCAGTTATGAGGATTTCGAGAGTGGAGAATGGGCACAATGCAATCGGGTCACCCATATACTCCAGCGCCGCCAAGAAGAAGTGCTCGAATTGGCTGCCGATATTCGTAGCCTTTGTGTTTATAGCAGAGATAGCCTTTCTGGGTCGACTTGACGTGACCAACAATGTCGACCTGGTCAACTCGTGGGCTCACTCGTTTTACCAGTTCACCGCCACGCCCTGGTCATCCACCTCCGCCGACGGCGGCGGCGATGACCGTGGATACTCCGGGGCCCGCTATCGCCGCTTCGGATATGAGAGCTGCGAAGATTGGTTGGAGAGGGTGGACGCCGTGACTTATACGAGGAACTTCGACAAAGACCCTATTCTCGTCCCCGCCAATCCCCAGGTTCGATTCCTATGCGTGAACTTACACATTCCTCAGTTCATGTGCTATTATTGCAATTAATTTTGTTTCATTTTTATTTCTTGATCTATATATATCAAGTTTCTTTTGCTTACCCACTAGGAATTAGCATATTGTTCTGTGGGATGCATAGGTGAGGGCAATTCCGATAAACAGCTTGATGCAGTATTTGGATTGGTGACTAAAGCGCCTGATACAACTAGGGTGCTGCGATCAATGGAGTCATCAAAGTACTATTCTGATAATAACATTGCCAGTGCAAAAAGGTGGGTAAGAATATTGTCTTTTACTATCTTTTTTGGGTACCCGTAGCTACTACCTGAAGGTGTGCATTGCATTGAGTAAACCCCGCCTTGTGATCTTAATTGACAAAGGACCACAAGGAGGTAAACCAGTCTAGGTTGCCCATAGCTGATAGGATTGCCTTATACTATCTTGCTTTGCAGGAAAGTAAGTTTACTAACTTTTAGCATTTTATAGGAGGGGATATGATGTTGTTATGACAACGAGCCTCTCTTCAGATGTTCCTGTTGGGTATTTCTCTTGGGCTGAGTATGACCTAATGGCGCCATTGCAACCGAAAACAGAGAAGGCTTTGGCAGCTGCTTTCATTTCCAATTGTGGTGGACACAATTTCAGGTTGCCGGCGATTGAAGCACTTGTAAGCGCAAACATCAGTATTGATTCTTATGGCAGGTGCCATCATAACAAGGATGGAATTGGTTAGTAATATGATTGAGCTCAACTACGCCTTAGGGTCCGTTTGGACTTCTGGAAAATGACTTATTTTCCGGAAAACATTTTCCTTTCCTGTGTTTGGCTGCACAATGGAAAACTGTCTTTTTTGTGTTTGGTTCATTTTCCAGAAAATGAACCGGAAAATGAATAGAATGGTATACTTCAAACATTTACCAATAAAAATTGCACAACAGGCATAAACAAGGGGAAGCAGAACCAATTGGAAACCACTGGTTTCCGGCAGCCGGAAACGAGTGGCTTTGGTTTCCGGCTGCGGAAACCATATCTCTGGTTTCCGATGCGAAAACCAGAGTCACTGGTTTCCGGCTGAGGAAACCAGTGACGATCACCATTGTTGAAGGGGGAGGCAGAGCTGAAGCAGTAACGAAGGTGAAGCAGTGTCTAGTGAAGATGGAAAATGATTTCCTCCCAAAAAAAGGGGAAGTCAGTTTCTGTAAAAATGAGGTCATTTTCCATTGACCAGACCTCATTTTCCTTTGACCTCTCATTTTCCAGTCTAGCCAAACACCAGAAACCCGGAGAAATCATTTTCCGGGTTTCCAAACAGACCCTTAATCTCAAACTACTTAGGGCTGGCTACTTTGATTCTATTTCTTCATAGGAAGAGGTCACTATGATCACTAAAATTTGGAAATTCTGAAAGGACATTAAATTGCCTTGTAAGTACGAAGAAGTTGCTACTCACAAGTAGCTAAATGTTCTTATCTCCTTTGCAAATTCCATTGATGTGGTATTTTACGTGCAATCTTGTTTTCCAATATATTGCAGTGAACAAAGTGGAAGCACTGAAGCGTTACAAATTTAGCTTGGCTTTTGAAAATTCCAATGAGGAGGATTATGTGACAGAGAAGTTCTTCCAGTCTCTTGTTGCTGGTATTAAGCCTGATTATATTAACTATTTTCATTCTATCTACGTAAATTCTATTGACTGCTATATTTGAAAAACGTGAGATTTTTGTTATTGGCATAGTAGTTGGACATTGATTTATTTTATTTTATTTTACCCAGTCTCTTGTCGCTGGTATTAATCCTGATTATATGTATTCAGTTTTCAATTCTAAAAGTGCCGTGATTATAGTTCTTCATTCTTTGGCACTTGCAGTGTATATACATGTTTTTTTTAATGCATCTGTTGATCTTTTGGAAAGTGTATGTATATGTAGGGATTACTTTTTTATGGAGTATATGTTTTTTCAAAGATCAGGCTGGTAAACTGTTCTGATTAAGAGAAGTCAAAAAATTCTTCAGGTGCTATTCCTGTGGTAGTTGGTGCTCCGAACATCCAAGATTTTGCTCCTTCTCCAGGTTCAGTGTTACATATTAAAGAGCTATCAGATGCAGAAAAAGTTGCAAAGACCATGAAGTATCTTGATGAAAATCCCGGTGCATATAATCAGACACTTAGGTGAGGAATTGTTAATGAAATTACACCTTTCCACCAAGAACTCACATACAAATGCACTCTCTAGGGAGGAGGCAAATTTTTTATTTTTTCTATTTTTATATTCTTGGTTAAGGTAATAAGTTGGGTGATCATTCTTAGGTGGAAGTTTGAGGGTCCATCTGTTTCTTTCAAGGCTCTCATTGACATGGCAGCGGTTCATTCATCATGTCGGTTGTGCATTCATTTGGCAACAAGAATTCGAGAGAGAGAAGAGAAGAGCCCAACTTTTAGTAAGCGTCCCTGCAAATGTACCAGAGGTTCAGAAACTGTTTATCATGTATATGTACGCGAAAGAGGGAGGTTTGAGATGGAGTCCATTTTCTTGAGGTATGTTTATTTGTAAATTTTACTGTGCCTTAGACCTGCTCAATGGTGCATTTTCGTTTTTGAGTACTCTTCTAAGCTTCTTTTAACTCTGCATTTCATTTTAAAGTTCCCGTACATATATCAACTTTACATGAAGGGGTATTTCTCATTATGCTGCAAATCTTGTGGGCTGAAACCCTTAGAGATAATCTTTTCTTATGTTTTAAACTCACGATTGTACCGATTGAGTCATATAAACTTGTCACTGTCCACATAGACATCTCAAACGTGGATCTCCATGCAAATATGTTATATGCAAAGAGAGTGGTTGGTTAGCTCTTTTGGGATCTTCTCGAGTTAGTTCCCTTCATTCTGTTAACTTCCTTGATCGATCTTTTGACAGGTCTGGTAATTTGACAATGGAGGCCTTTGAATTTGCGGTTTCATTGAAGTTCAAGTCTCGAAAGCATGTTCCCATTTGGAAAGAAGAAAGACCCAAAATGATAAGGGGAGGGGAAGAGCTCACAATTTACAGAATATATCCTCTTGGAATGACTCAAAGACAAGCATTGTATAGTTTCAAATTTGAAGGGGATAATCAGTTTAGGGAACATATAGAAAGTAACTTGTGTGCTAAGTTTGAAGTCATTTTTGTATAGATTAGCTTCAAAATCTTCTGCCTCGCTCATGGCTGATCTACAAGGGAGAATAAACCATATTTTCCCCAAATCTTTCATATGCCATTGTAAAAACAACAGAGTTTTTTTTTTTTTTAGTAGCTCTTTCAACTATAACAATATTTTTACATTTTGTTCTTAACTTTGTTTAATCTTAATGTTTAAAAAGTGTTTTTTTTAGTACTATTGACTCTCTTACAATGTAGTATTTGTTTGAACCTATGACCTTCAAATTGGGAGGATTACAGTTATGTCGCTTGACCACAATTTTTTGGCAAAAGGTGTTCTATTTTTAGATTTGAAATGTTCGTAATTTGTAAAAAATTATTTTTATTACATTTGAGGGCATTTTGGAGTAAAAGTAAAATAAAATAAAAATCAATAAAAGAAAAATAAAAATATTACTATATCTGAGAGATAGAATAAATTCTAAGCCACATAAGTTTGCATCTTCCAATTCCATGAATTCAGATCATGATAATGATGTATGTTCACTTCACTACCTTATCCTTGAAGATGGAAAAAGTGAATCTTTCATCCCTTTAGGTGGGGTGGAGAGGGGGATTTGGGGGAAGGAATGAAAAATATATGGTTGATGAATTGAAGGATGGAATCTTTTCATTATCAACCGTATCTTCTAAAAATGGTATTGAATCTATTGATGTCTTAGTTTTCATAGAGTTGTATATTTTCTTAAGAATTGCACTCCAATTTCGAGAGTCCCTATTATCTCTTTCTTAGAGTTTTGTTGAAATATAAATAATAGAATGTGATTTAACAGTCGCTAAATTTTTTAAAATGTTTTCACATTAGCGCAACCAAAGTACGAAGCAGAGCTGTTAACTCAATTTTAGATTAATTAACTAGTTAAGTTGCATTTCGGACAAATTATACACTAAGATAGCTTGGGCAGATATGGGAAAATCCATTGTGGAATTCCATATATGTCACCAATAAGATTTTAGTTAGTTGGAGTGCTATTGGGTGCACAGGTGTTGGCATGGCAGATACCCATGTGTACGTAGTATATGAATTTGCTGCACATAAATGTAAGCTCTTTGGATGGGTGGTTGACAGTTGTTGGTTACTGGATAACCCACAACATTCTTTGAAATCTTTGTGTGAATTTGTGAATCCTTCAAATCGCATCTTTCTTAATGCCACATATATATCAAGTAGATGTTGATGTACACCCAACATTGCCTTTTTGTTTTATTTATATGAATAAAAGATCATGTGCTTACTTGCTTTTCCATACTACTACCTACAAAAACTAAATTTGTCGCTTGATAATTGACACATGTAACATGTTACCATTATCAATAAGTTGATTTCTAATTCAAAAGAAGTGGTCGAGTGAGTGGAATATAATTTTTGTACATAATAATTATAAGTTTGATTCTTGTTGGTTAATACTTTCTTGATCGAGTCTGTCGCACATGATCTTCTTAGTGGGGTTTACTTTTTATGCGTAGCCGGTGTGCACCTTCAGATAGTGATTGTATGATTTCTAGTGAGTGGATCATGACATAGTTTTAAGTTGAGCATATCTTTATTAAAGAAGAGTTGACAGAAAAAGGGACACTTAGAGCATCCTCAATAGTTGAGGTTTTTGAAAAGTTTTTGTATGTGTGATTAGGAAAGAGGTGATGAAAGGGAAGAGGAAAAAAAGAGCAAATCGGGGAAAAGAAAAACAAAAAAGCAGAGAGTCTTATGCCCCCCAAGGTGCGCAACGCGCGGGAATTGCACTCCTTTTTTCACGCAAGCCCCACATTTTTAGACAAAAAACCTTCACTCCTCCTACAAGAACCTCACCCCTTCTCTCTCTTCACACTCTCACCTCCACATCATCTTTCTTTTTCTCAAAAACCGTGACGAAGATGTCGGCCTGTAGGCTGTTTAGGACTTTTTACACCTTGTAGAAGGAGAAAGAGAAGGAAAAGAGCTAAGATTCAGCCTAAAACCACATTTGGGGATAGTCCTACATACATTGAGCTTATAGTTAATGATTGAATCATAAATATTAGTTTCTCATACTATACTAGAAGGCAACAAATGAGTAGATCATCTAATTATTAAGGTAGATAATCAAACTAGTAAAAGATGCAGTGTCACCTTAATTAGATCTTCTACAATAGATAAGAGCATTCTGCTATGACTATCTAAGAGTGGGCATTATGTAAATTTCATTCATGCGTAATACTTAACAAATTGCACAAGAGAGATAAATTCATTCAACCATATATCCTTAATTTTAGAGCAAAAACATCTTATTATTATTATTCTTAATTCTTATGGTAGTTTAACTTGTTCCGTCCGAGTTATGAATTGCACCAAAAAACAGCACGCTTTTGATAAGTGTCAAAATGAAACTTATCCAAATATGGAAAGTGATCACACTCAAAATTGAGCTTTGAAAATGGAAGAGTCGTGCCGTATTTGGGTGGCTGCGCTGCTGCGACATTTAAACAGATAACTAGAAGACAAAGCTTTCATTATTGTAACACCACATGATCCAAAATTATAAATTCCCTCCATTCTCTTCATCAAGTCATCAACATACACACTTATTATTGTATTCCATGGAGATAGTATCATCATGTATAGTATATATCTTCTTCTTTCTGATTATGGCAGCTCTCTTCTCATGCTACCTACCACAGAAACAACAAAGAAAACTAAAGCTGCCACCAGGTTCAATGGGATGGCCCTATATTGGAGAGACTCTTTCTCTCTACTCTCAAGATCCCACTCTATTCTTCTCTAATAAGCAAAAAAGGTTCTTTTCTTGATTGACTTTGCATGAAAGATATTGTGTAATTTTTTTGATTGCCTATAGTCGTTATTCGAAAGTGGGCTATGGGTGAAGTTAACCTTAGTCAGCAAAAGACCAGCCTAAGTTGTACATAGTTGATAAGCTCAAACCAATTGTCTGACCAACTTAATTAGAATTTTAGATTAATTCCCCTTTTTCGCACCGGGTCGGCCCAATTAAGGAACAAAGTGCTGGCCAGATTGATTTTTCATAGGAGAGTGGGTTCGAACTCCCGACTTCTCTTAAGAGATAAGAGTGTACGGCCACGCCAACCAAGCTGGTTATTTTACCCCATATATTGTGTACTTAGTTGGCATGTTTTAGCTAGATCCGGTTTGTAATAATGTTGGCATTGCATGTTGGTAACAGGTATGGGGATATATTCAAAACTCACATACTTGGATGCCCATGTGTTATGGTGGCTACCCCAGAGGCTGTACGTTTTGTGCTGGTAACTCACTCTCACTTGTTCAGGCCTGCATACCCAAAGAGCAAACAGCAGCTGCTTGGCCCTTCTGCGCTGTTTTTCCACCATGGAACCTACCATTCTCAGCTCAGGAAGTTGGTGCAAAGATCATTGTCCACCCAGGTGGTTTTGCAACTTGTTCCTCGTATTCAAACCTTGGTTGTTTCTTCCTTGGAATCATGGTCCAAGAAGCACATCCTCAACACATTCCAGGAGATGAAGGAGGTATGTAGGTTAATTAATTCACTTCCATAACTATCCATCTTTCGATCACAAAAGGAAAAATTACAGTTTTGACTCATAAATTAGGGTGATATAATTTTTTTGAATAAGTAGAGAAACTCGTAGTCATTACCTTGTTTTGTGACCTTACCTGACAAAAAGTCACGAGGAAGTAAATCAACCTAGGTTACCTATAATTGACCAGTGCAAACTAAGAAGACAGTCTGACTAACCTAGCTGGATCAGAGTTGCCCCTAGAGATATAACTCAAAAGTGTCATTTTCCCTTTTCATGAATTTGCCAACTTATTACTTTTTCACATTTCCTATATACCTCTTATTTCCATTTAAGTGTAAGCCAATGATTTTTTTATATATATATATATATATATATATATATATATATATATATATATATATATATAAAATATATGTGGTGCAGTTCTCTTTTGAAGTGGGCATTCTTGCTATTTTTGGAAACCTGGAGAAGAAGTACAGGGAAGGGCTTATGGAGAATTACTGCATAGTAGATAAAGGATACAACTCTTTTCCCACAAACTTACCGGCATATAACAAAGCCATAATGGTAAACAACAACCTTAATCCCCTCTCTCTCTCTCTCTGATCTCTCTCTTCATGGATGTATGAATGATTGAATTCTAACAGGCGAGGAAAAGGTTGAACCAAATTCTGAGTGAGATAATGTGTGAATGGAAGGAGAAGAGCATGTTGGGCAAGAATCTTTTAGGGAATCTTCTGAACTTCAAGAACGAGAAAGGTGAGCATTTGAGGGATGACCAAATTGCCGATAACATCATCGGAGTGCTTTTTGCTGCTCAGGGCACCACTGCTAGTGCTCTCACGTGGATTCTCAAGTATCTCCATGATGACCAGAATCTTTTAGCAGCTGTTAAGGTAGATAGATTTAACAATTTAGAGATGAAAATTGTCATTTTCTCATTCATTAATAACTTGCATATATGGTTGGTGTAAAGAAATATAATGGTGTTTCAACTGCAGGAAGAGCACAGGGTGATCTACAGATCCAACAGTGAAGGGAAACAACCTTTAACATATGCTCAAACAAGAAACATGCCCCTAACGTACTCGGTATATATACAAGGATTGTCGTTGTGACATATATATATTTTGTAGAATATTTTTTGATAAAATTAAAGTATATACAATAATACCGATTAACTGAAAGTTAAAACTAATAGAGCTGACAAGTTAGTTTAAGGTTGCAGGTCATATTGGAGAGTTTGAGGTTGTCCAGCATTATATCTTTCACCTTCAGAGAAGCTATGGTAGATGTGCATTATGATGGTGAGATTTGAGATGCAAAATTTTCAACTACTTAAATTAATTAAATCATGAGATGACTAAGCATTGAGTCTCTCACACACACACACATATATATATATATGTGTGTGTGTGTGCGGGCCCACACTATTGGGGCATAGCTCAGTAGTCGAAAGGTTGACTGTAAGTGTAGTGACTCAACAAATATCTGGGTCACTGAGACCTTGCGTCACTGAGACACATCTGCGATATGATTTACCTCCTCTCATAATTCTTCTTAGGGTAAAGAGTTGAAGGGTCCTCAAATTTAGGCTTTAAGTCTATATGTAGGTGTGAATATTTATATTTATATGTATGTGTATGTATGTATGTATGGTATTGCAGGATATATTATTCCAAAAGGATGGAAGGTGATGCCATTGTTCAGAAACATTCATCATAATCCTGAACTTTTCACTGCTCCTCTGAACTTCAACCCATCCAGATTTCAGGTATGTAATGATTGATTTTTCTACTATTCATAATATATAAAAAGATAATTGTATAGTTCATCTTTAATTGATATAAATTACGGTCAAAACAATTTCTAACATGTAAACTATCTAGAAATAGAGATTGAGAAAGTGTTAACAAGAATAAAACTTGAAACCTTTGAATAAAATAGTCATATTTAATTCACTGGATTACTCTTCTTGGGCTTATTATTATTACTCACTTTATTTATTATTTATTTATTTATTTTGCATTGTTGGATGTTTGTAGGTTGCACCAAAAGCGAATACGTATATGCCATTTGGCAGTGGCGCGCATGCTTGTCCAGGAAATGATCTTGCCAAATTGGAGATGTTAATTATGATTCATCATTTAGTTATGGGATTTACGTAAGTACGATGTATTAAGGTAGCTTTAATTTTGTGTTTGGCCAACCTGTTCTGCACTATCCACAATTTTTGTTTTTTTTTTTTTTTTTGTTTTTTGTTTTTTTTTTTTTATGATGAAAAAAATTCAGAATCGAACTATTATTGATCGAAGGTGTGTACAGAATAAATTATATTTAATGGTTTTATAACTTTTATTTACAGGTGGGAAGCAATGAGTTCCCAAGATGTGGTTCAGTATAGCCCATTCCCAGTCCCTCATCAAGGATTTCCAGCCAAATTTTGGAAAGAAACCAACACGGTAGAACATGAATGCCTCAAGTAATGGCCGTTATTACACTCCAAAGATTAGAGTCAGAGAAATCAATTGTTACCGGGAGAAATACTTAATTGTTCATTATTTGGTTAATATAAATAGTTTGTATTGTGTAATGTACGACTACGAATCGAACTCATGTACTGTATCTATATAATGCGAGGTGAATAAAATATAATAATTTTTAAAATTAATTTCTAGATAAGTTAATTCTAGCAACATAAATTGTTTTTTTTTTTTTTTTTTGTCAGGCTATGACCTCATTTGTACTGAATCGGCCCATTTAAGGGACATCTCTTAAGATATGAAAGTGCACAATCACTCACACCAACTGAGTTGGTTACATAAATTGGTTTTAATGTTAACATTTCTCATTCTATATATCCTTTCCCAACAAGAAAAGTAAACTTATTATGGACTACTATATGGTTTTTGTTTAAACTATGTTAGCAGAAATTATTGTTTTTGCTTCTTTAAATATGTATAAGTATTAATCATTTATTTACAAGGTTTTTTTTTTAATAAAAAATCTTTCAAAAAAAAAATATAGATAAACGATTTTAAAACGTTGTTATAAATTTATGAAAATAAAATCTTCAAAACTCGAAATTATTCACCTTTAAAATTTTCCGGTGCAATATAGATGTAAACTAATATTTTAAACAAATATTCGTTAGATACATTCATGAGAATTATTAGTGAAATTCGCAGCCGCTAAGACTATGTCAATACGTGTAAATTACGTATAAAAAAATTATATGAATGACATATGACATTACAACATAGAAAAGCATGACCCACTGTTGTCGCTACTAACGTACACCCGTGCGTCATGGGCACTTTTTGAGAAAGGGAATGAATGGGCTTTGACTTAATTTTGGATAAGGTTTGACCGGGTCAGCCCAACTTTCAAGCTGCCCTTTATTGATTTTTTTTTTTTTAAATTGATAAAATTAAGCATATGTGGTGTGAAACTCAAAAGTTCATATTATAAGTTAGTCTGACATCCCACGTAATCACTTGCATCTTGAGGCTAATTTAGAATGATTTATTTTAAAGAAATTATTATTTTACTTATCAAATTCAATACTTAATTTTTTGTGTATGTTTAAAATTTGACATAAATTTATCGATTTAGAGAAAATTTATATCCTAGAACAACTAGATATAGTACATATGACTCTAATACAACAAACCCTACTTTAGCGCCATTAGCAATTGATCTCAATAACAACCGATCTCAATTCTAGGAGACAACATAATATTTAAGCTTGATAAAAAAAAAAAATTATTGCATCATATTTCACTAATAATCACTTGACATGTTGCTTATTATGGTCAGTCTGAAAACACTAGGTCATCCAACTTAATGAGTGTTATCTTATGACTTGTAAACTGATACCCGTATAAATACACCCTAGCTTTTACTATTTATTTTGGACCAACTATTACAAGCTGAATCAGAACTTCAATCATAATATAATTAACTTCTTAAAACTAAGCTTATGATGATCTCACTTGTATTAGTCAATCGAGTTTAAAAATAAAAACGGTTTTACGATTTTACATTTTCCTACTAAAAATAATCTCAAATATAAAATTTATTTGTCTAACCAATCCGATATATGTTATTACCGTATTTACTATTTAGTTCATTTTTCTTTTTGTATTATTATATAAACTCGTAATGGAGTCAAATAATTTTCAATTATGAATACAACGTCAACGTCAACCATCAAAAAATAAAAATTTTCATAAATTAATTTCAAATTAAATGATATGATTAAAATCAGAGACTAATTGATAAGGAAGTGTTGGTCGGTTATCAAAAACCATTCAATCAATATCTGTACCTATTTTTAACTGGGTCCAAAAGAATAGTTCAATTAATTGGATTTTGAAGTGAAACTGACAAAAACGGATACTTGCAGGAACTCGTCGCCACTTCATACTCGGATGTCCCATTCAAAACAATGAACGGCTTGTCTGGTTCCAGCTGTACAGCTTTGCTAAAACAGTGAGTATTATTTACGGAGTATCACTATATTACTTAAATCATTCATATTATTTTACACATTATGTTATAAGAGTTGCATTATACAATTAATATTTTAATAAAAAATAATCATATTATTATAACTTTTGTTGTCTTTTTCAAGTATTGTTATCATGTATATATATTCACCATATAATAATATATAGACATTATATATCAGAGTACTATATAAGTTATTTTTAAAAATATAAATATCAAATTTATAAAAATAGTTTACAAAATAATAATAATAATAATAATAATAATAATAATAATAATAATAATAATAATAATAAGGTATACGGCCATGGTATGTAGTGACCTCTCCCATGTGGAAAGTCATGAGATTGAACCTTAGGCATTCAAAAAAATAATAAGGTACATGATTCAATCTTATAATGGAGTAATAAAATTTGAGAGAACTCTTAAAATAAAGTCTTGTTCAAATTTAAAATTATAAAGAATTATGATTTGCGTTTTAAATCATGCTAGACAAACCTATCTTATTCACTTTATTTTTTATTGCTTGACTTAGGAATACCTTTTATATCAATAAAAATACTTTGACTATTAATATCTTTAATTTAATGGGCTTGATGGGGGTGTGAACCCCGTGGGCTCGGGGCCCAAGAGAGGAAAAAGAGAGGCCGAAGAGGGAAAGAAGTCCAAGGGGAGAGAGGTCCAAGAGGAGAGAAGGCCAAATCCAGAAGGGAAAATAGCCCAGAAACAGAGGTCGATCCGAGCTCGGCACGAATAGGCAGGCGGCACGAAGACAGCCGTTGGAGCATTAAAAGAGCTATTTAAGGAGCCCAGTCAGCAAGCCGTTGGGAGGCCCACTGTTAGGGATGTTTGGAGTTTGTTTTTTGGTTTAGCAAAATCTTCATATTTGATTTATGACTATTTAGTCTGACGATTTTTAATTCTTGTCATATTTAGTCACTCCGACTTAATTTACGATCACCAGTGACCAAAATTTACACAAGTAATTTATTTTGAAGGATAAAATTCTCATTTCTAATCATCTCACCAATAATAATTTTGTCATTTAAAATAAGTTACCGGTGATATGAAATTAGGTGAGAAAGGCCAAATGTTACATGAATTTAAAAATTATAAGACTAAAATGTCAAAATGATACAATAATCTAGGAATGAAATGTGAAAAATCTCGAGATGCTAGCAAGTGAAAATTTTGGAAAAATTATCATTTTTTATAAAATAAAATTAGGCAGATAGAATATAATAAAAATTTAATATGAGAAGCATTGTTGAATAACCGTCCACAAATTCATATAATGAAGAGCGAAGAGGAGAAGCGTGTATTGAGAGATTTTGTGATGTTGACGTCGTACTTCACGTCATCTATCTGGCTGAGTGGACCACAGGAATCGCCGCGAAAGAGGCCAGTGGGTCCCACCGGCCACAAGACAATAAGAGCATCCACAATGGTTGGGGAGAATTGGGAGATAATGTAAGAGTGATTAGGAAAGAGAAGGTGGGAATGGGAGAGAAAAAAAAAAAAGAAAATCAAAACCAAAAAACAAAAAAAAAAAAAAAATGTAAAAAGAAAAGTATGTGAACGGCGCGCCTGACGCACAGCCTGGCGCGTGCACTGCACGCGCCCGGCTGTGCCATGCTGTGCGCCAAACGCGCACAGCATGTGATCTTTCTTTTTTTTTTTTTTTTTTTTTTTTTCCTATGCTCCCCATATTTGCAGAGCAATTCTTCCCACCATTCTTTCTTCTCCACACTAGTTATTCACCCAATTCAAAAGAAAGCATATGACATTATCTCCACATTCTCCCCTTAATGTGGATGCTCTAACCTTAAAAAGTGAAAGAATCAGAATTCGAACGTGCCAACAAACATCACTTTTGCCTGCATATGCCAGATCACACTCCGTGTAGATTATGTGTTTTGACTGTATGAGCTGGCAAATCCACGTCATCCTTCCCCCCCTATATATCCTTAACCGCCTTTGACCGCTGTCAGAAAATCGGCAAACTCTCCAGAGCTCCAAGAAATATAGAAGAAGTGAAGATTTTTCCGGTTCCGGCATGAATAGGATAGGAAGGAGAGTTAAACAGGAACTAAGCTCCGGCGACCAAGGTCACCGGCCACCGGCGAGGCTCACCGGCGAGCAGGAATTCTCCGTCATGGTCTCGGCTTTGAAGAACGTCATAAGCGGGAGGGCAGTGTCAGCCGAGGAGAATGTGGATTTATTTTCGTCGTTTGAGTTTCTCGCCGCCGCATCCGCCGGAGATTCCTCGACGAGCGCCGCGGAGTTGCCGCCTTTTTTGAGCGTCCCGGAAGGTAACACGTGTCAGTTCTGCGGGATATCCGGGTGCCTGGGCTGCAATTTCTTCGGGCCCACCACGGAGGCGGACGACAATCAGAAGAAGAACAAAAATGCGGTGAAGAAGAAGAAGAAGAATTTCAGAGGCGTGAGGCAGAGGCCGTGGGGGAAATGGGCGGCGGAGATACGGGACCCACATAAGGCGGCGCGTGTTTGGCTGGGAACGTTCAACACCGCGGAGGAGGCGGCGCGGGCTTACGATAGAAAGGCCATCGAGTTCAGAGGCCCGAGAGCCAAACTCAATTTCCCATTTTCCGATTACACATCGTCAAATCCTCAACTGCTGCAACGTTCGGCTTCAACGTCTTCGTCTCATCTTCGCCGGCCAATGCCGCCACCGCCGCCGCCGCAACAGCAAGAAATAAGCGTTACAGAGAGCAATTTGGCGGCGAAAATGGAGGTGGGCACGAGCAATGAAAACGAACTGTGGAAATTCGGGGAAGACGAGATTCAAGACTGTTGGACGATGATGATGGATTTCAATGGCGATTCTTCCGATTCCGCCAGCGGTTACGTTCAACCGTGGGATCATCAATCTTGCTAGAATGCTAGCTACATATATTGCAGAAATAATATTTATCGCTAATATAAGCTAGCTAATTCCTAGGAAAAATTCGCTTTAATATATTCGACGAATAATTTATCTATGTAAATCAGAGTTTGCCATAAGTAAATATAAAAATATAAAATTTGAGAAACAATAACCTGCCACATCTTAGTTGATATAGACTTGACAATAAGGACTTGCCATAATTCTAGCCTCTAGTTCCTCACCCTCAAGAGTAACTAGGGAATATAAAGTCATCCACATATGTGGATATGGCATATTTTCTTAGAGAAAAAGGAGTCAAGTTGGCAAAGAGAGAAGTGAGAGAGAGGATTGAGGTTTCTCTACAAGAGAGAAAATAATGGCAGAAAAGTGGGTTTCATTGATAAGTGAGGCTAGACGCATCAGAAGCTTGTGCGTGTCACAATTGCGCCCAGTGGTAGCGTGTAGTGCACGCGCTTGCTAGACGCGTTGTCGGCGCGCGCTTGACAGTGACCTTTTTTTTTTTAAATCAGTTTGTTTTTTCTTCAACTCTCATATTCTCTTTCTTAATCACACTTACAAAAACTTTTCAAAAATCACAAAATATTCTACAATTATGGATGCTCTAAAGAGTAAAGACCAGAAGCATGAATAATTTTGTAGTCAATCCTCCATCTTATTGTGTGCACCTTAGTACTTTTTTTTTTAATAATGGGTAAACGTTCAATGTCTTTCTTAGATATACTTTTTGTTACATGTAATACTGAGTATTTGATCAAGATTGCGACAAAAGAGTTTAAGTTTTTCTCGAGATAAGACATGACCCAAAATTATTTAATAAAATGCACATAAAAATGTTGTTCTTCCAATTTGCAATAAAATATTACTTGTACTCTCAAATTATAAAGTTGATAGTTTGAGTTGAATAAATATCCTAAAAAAGACTTGTAATGGATATTCCTAAGAAGCACGTAATGTAGCATGATGCCTATCCATACCTAGGAAGCATGCTAAATAATGAAATAGAAAACCACAATGCTGGCGAAGAATAACACGTGGATAATTCCATGAAGCAATCTATGCACAACATTTATCACGTGCTAAAACAGAGTAATATTTTAGTGAAACTTTAGACTAAAGAAATGGCAAGAGGGGAGGAGGGGGGCATTCAAAGAATAAAGATGCGAGTCAGAATCAAATATAATTAACGACTCACTGAGTTAACCATGGATAAAGGTCGAGTTGCAGAAAAGCGAAAGAAATTTGATGTGTTGATTTGGACGAGTGGGGGGCAGCTAACTGACTCAGTGGAGAATATCCGGGTCATTACTCGGTGTTGTTGATAGCCGCAACGCGTATGGCAACGTGCCTTTACAGTTTTTAATATCAGATTATATTACAAAGATTCCAGACAAGATTAGATTCCTCGTATATCATGTCTGATCCCCTTGCCATCACATTTTTATCGAATGTTTCTGATTAGTCAATTACCAAATAATAATAACAATAATAATAATACTAATTATTATTATTATTATTTTAAATGGTATTGACTATATTACAATGTACTATTTATTCATACACATTTTCTCAACCTACTGAAGCACAAATAATTAATACCTTCATACTGGGGTTCGAATCTGAGACCTCTCATTTGAGGGGCCACTAGTGTCAATAAAAACAATTAAAATTTTCATTATTATTTTAATTATTAGTACACAAGTGCCAGTTCTTTTATTTTCTTGGTAACAAGGTGAACCTGCATAGAAGTAACGGTGGTTCACTTTTAATTTTTCTTTTTTCAAAAAATTTTCCATTAGTTCTAGTATTATTGTAGATGACCATTTTTTTTGTCCTTCATCAACAAATCTTTTTTTTTTTTTCATTAAATACAAAGACATTTCTATCCTTTTTTTTTTTTTTATATACAAATGAACGTGGGTTAACCCGCTATATTTTTATTTGTTTTTTTTTTTTTGAAAAAAAAATCATAATTGAAGACATAAATGTCCTTGTATTTTACGAAATTTAAACGGTTTTGTTGATGGATGACCAAAAGTAGTCATGCCACAATAATACTAAGACCAAAGACGGATGTTCTGAAAAAATAGACTAAAAGTGGATTGTCACCTATAAATCTAGCCAGGACCAAAAATGAAATATAATTAACTCTTATATATTATTTAAACTAAATTGATTATTTGAGGAGGCAAATTAAATATATAAGATAAGATAAGAAAGTAGTATACCTTAATTCATTGTATTAGGATATAGGAAGCTATCTAGGAATTGAAGGAAGGAAGCAATGGTGGTAATGTTATTTCATCAAGAAATGGAGCTTTATTCATGGACAGCCTTTGACGTGTACATTTCCTGGTGGTTTGTGACCTCCATATCCTCCGACAAACCTCCCCACTTCCATTGCCGTCTCGCAATCCTTCCATCTCCAACCATGGCGGCCATCTCCACCTCCCTCTTCTTCTGCCTCGTTTTCTTTCCCCTAATAATCCTTGCCCAGACCAACGGCGTCCCTAAAGGTACGCTAAATAACCCAGAATTGAATTGAATTGAATTTGCAGAAACATAAAATTTAAATTACATTTTGTGATAGGTTTCTTCTTGAACTGTGGCGGAAACGAGGAGGTGGAACTGCATTCTCTTACGTTCGTCCCAGACGATAAATACATTTCTGCCGGCAACAAATCCGTCGTGAAACAGCAAAACATCCTTCTAACGTTAACCACCCTCCGCTATTTCCCCAGCAACAAGGCCCGGAAATGGTGTTACAGTTTGCCGGTGGCCAAGGGGAAGAGGCTGCTGGTGAAGACGGTGTACTATTACGGGGGGTTCGACGGCGGGAAGGAGCCGCCGGTGTTCGATCAGATCATCGACGGCACCAAATGGTTTGTGATTGACACCAGGGCGGATTACGCCAGGGGTCTCACCTCCTACTATGAAGCCATTGTTATGGCGAATGGAATGGACCTAACGCTCTGTCTTGCCAGGAATGAGCAAACTGGGAATTCCAGCCCCTTCATTTCCGCCATTGAAGCCTCTTATCTTGAAGACACCATTTACAATACCACTGATTTCCAGAAATATGGATTGATCAACCTTGCCAGACACAATTTTGGCTCTGATTTTGATATGATTGGGTATGTATATAAAATATCAATTTTGGTCCCATGAGTATTAGCAAAATGACAGTTTTTGTTCACATATTTAATTTCTATCAATTTTCATTCACGACTATTGTTTTACTATCAATTTTCATCCACCATTATTGTTTTAGTGCCAAAATTTATCATGGTCATCTCTTCGTTTAAGACATGTCAAAATATGAAATTATGAAGGGTATTTTCGTCATTTTTAAATTAAGATCCCAATTTGAGCATGAATAAAGAAATTAAACCCTAATATTGATTTCAATTTGCAATTTTCCTCCTCAAATTAATGTAGGATGAGGAGGAAAATTGCGAATTGAGATCGATCTTAGGACTTAAATCTCTTTATTCGTGCTCAAATTGGAATCTTAAGTTGAAAATGACGAAAACACCCTTTAAAATTTTAGATTTCAACATGTCTTAAACAGAGAGGTGATTGCCGTGATCAATTTTGACACTAAAATAATAATTACAGATGAAAACTGGTACTAAAATAATAATCGTGGATTAAAATTGGTATTTGCTCCAGAATATGTGCTTATGATTTTCAAAAAACAAAATAATTAAATACTAATTTTAATTTTAGCTTAGTCCTTTAATTATATTCATATCATATATCTGATCTTGAAAACTGTGGTTCAATAGTTTTCCAGATGATCCTTACAACAGACTGTGGCTTCCATTCATGGACAATAACCCATCAGTGCTAAGCCACTCGCACGTGACGCCGGTGGCGTTTTGGAACAAGCCGCCGAAGGAAGTGTTCACGACGGCGGTGACAACCAGCAGAGGGAAGACGCTGACGATGCACTGGCCGCCGTTTTCGCTCCCCAATACTTACTACTACATCGTTCTCTACTTCCAGGACAACCGCACGCCCAGCGCTTATAGCTGGCGAACATTTGACGTCAAGATTAACGGCAAGACGTTTTACAGCAAACTGAACGTGACCACAGGCGGCGTCAGTGTTTACTCTCCGGCTTGGCCGCTTTCTGGGAATACGTCGATTTCTCTGATTCCGGTTGATGGTATTCCGGTCGGGCCTGTCATTAACGCCGGAGAAATCTTTCAGCTTTTTCCATTAGGTGGAAAGACGCTCACACGAGATGGTAAAACTGTTTTTATTTTTTTATTTTTCAACCTAATTAAATTGGCATAACCACAGAATTTAAATTTGACTGATCTATTCACTTTCTTGATTTGAATCTATCAATAATGGACAATTTAGGTTGATTTACCTTGTTTTTGTTCTTTGTTCAACTCTTTAAGGTTAGAAAGCAGGATTTAGGTCAAACCTTTAAAGAGTAGTGATGGCATGTTTCGTTCGTTACTAAAACACTATTGAATAGTGGTTGCATATTTCATTGATTACTAAAAAAATGGGGTTTTTTTTTCTTTTTTTTGCAACCCACTCAAGATGGGCTAATCACAAAATTTCAAGTTCAACTGGGGAGTGTCTTATTGGCATCTTTGGTTTGAGTTTAAAATTGGACAACCTAAGCTAATTTACCTCTTTGTGATCTTTTTACTGATTAGACTTCTTCGTCAATTTTGCCACTACTATAAAAATCATTATCAGAATCCAAATCATTATCAAAATCATCATTAGAAACCTTAACCAGGTCCCGGTTCCGAAATACTGTAACAAAAGGAACATAGGAGTTTGTTGCTAGGGATTTGACCAAATAGGATCGTCCAGTTTTTATAGAACCTATCACTAAAATACCCCTAGAAAGGGATAGGGGTAAGCGGAGCGAAAAGGGTAGGTTAGGAGATGGGTAATGAAAACGATTCGAGATTTGTATTGTCTGATAATAAGTAAGGAATATGATTTAACTATACACATTTTCGGGTAGTAGTTACAGGTTTCTCTAGTTAGTAAAAAAAGGGGTTTTTTGTGTGTTTTTAATGTTTCTGTGGCAAAAGTGATAATTGTGCTTATATATAGTGATTGTTTGCTGAGTACTTAAACAGTGGCGGCGTTGGAGGATTTGCAGAAAAGCTTGAGGAACACGCCGGAGGATTGGAATGGGGATCCATGCCAGCCAAAGGATAATGGATGGACAGGAATCACATGTAGTAAAGGGAAATCATTCAGAGTTGTGTCTCTGTGAGTTACCCACTTTCACTATTACATTAGTAATCATCAAGGGTATAATTTGTAGGACATAGTTATAGATAGGATTATATATGTTCAGGGTTGTGATATCTGGGTAGATAGGTCTAATGGTTTAATGTCTCAATATCGCTAACGGATTATTAGAGAAATTAGCAAGCTAAAGTGGGCCGAGACCTTATACGCGACGGTCCACCCCTGAAGAAGAGAAGTCATAATAGGGACATGCATCACCCAGGTAGACGGGCACAAGAACCTTGCCATGCTGCCTGGCTTCCTCTTCGCCGATCGGTCCAGGGCTAAAATACAAATATTCATGTGTATAATTAGTGACTATTCATACATTTCGAACAAGCAATCCACCTCGAGAATAGTGAAATTTTGAGAAAATATTAGTGTTTATATATTATTCCATAGTTGTAATATAATTCTGGCCTTTAGCGCCGCCAAGAAATACAACTTCTGCTATTGTTTGTTTCATTATCTCTTTAATTATTGTATGTTCTATTGGATCTTGAGGCCTAGTAATTGCATTTTTTTCTGGCAAACATTTTGCTTACATTTTGAGATGAAATTGTTTGAAGGAACTTGACTGGTATAGGGCTGAGTGGAACACTACCTCAAAGCATATCCAAATTGACTGCAGTTTCCTATATGTAAGTAGTCATTTCTGTTCTACAAAAGCAGAATATGTTGGGAAAAAAAGAACATCTTTTTATAGGATTTGCAAGAATTGAGAATGACTGATATACAGTTGGCTTGGAGACAACAAACTCTCTGGTACATTGCCTGATATGAGCAAATTGAAGTCCCTGAAATCTCTGTAAGCTCTCATTTCACCCTGGTTTATCAGTTATAATGTACTTCCCGGTTTTCGCACAATCTGATTGGTTTATACCATCTGGAAAGAAGGCATTTGGAGAACAACCAGTTTGAAGGAGCAATCCCAAAGGCTCTAGGCCAACTACCAAAACTCACTGAAGTGTGAGTTTCTTTCTCCGATCGATGCTTCAAGAAAAGTTCTTTTTTTGGCTGTCTAATTGCGTGTTTTGTTTCGACAGGTTTCTGCAGAATAACCACCTAAATGGTGAAGTCCCACAAGGCTTAAAGAACAACAAGAACATAACCCTCCAGTATGAGAATCTTTGTCTGCTGACAACGTTGCTACTACTGCTGTTAAGATCTCCTTTCTGACTCTTTCTGTTGCAGGGTTTGAGGGGAGCTGTCGGGGGATGAAAGGAGTTAGAAGAGCTGAAGAAATGGGATTATAAGCTAGCAAGAATGGATGTGAAGAAAGAGGGAGATGGATGTTGGATTGCCAATTTGTGGAAAACCTGAGTGTATAAATTAAAGTAATGATCTTCAGTGAAAAAATGTAGTTTAATTAAGGTCCTGTGTGAACAGAACCATAACATTGTGAAGGAGTTTGTTTATATATTCAGAAGTTCAATTTGCAAATTTCAATGCCAAGTTTCTCAAAGAAATCCTATGCAGGATCTTATTCATCATAAATGGAATCTATATATAATCCACTTGACATACAATATAATGTTTAACTCACTACATTTCTCTCTACTACTACTGTGACTAATTTTAAATTCAGTTCAAGTTACACTTATAGAGTTTGATCCTTATCCAAAAAAGACTTGACTCAAGACATTTAACATATATAGTGCACCTTACACGTTTAGAGGATGTTACCTAACTTTTCAATTATCACAAGTCACAATACATGGGAAAAGACCCAATATAATCCTCACTCTAATTTTGACTTTTCTTCTTCATTAATTTATATTATCATCTTCTCCAATCTCCATATCACCGAACCAAGCCATTCTAGAGAACCCAAGATTCCAATAAGCCCACTTTTTATTTATTTTTTTGGATTTACAGAAAGGGGAACACCCAAAAGAGGCCAAAATAAGCCCATCTATTATCACTGCTCACAAAATAGGGCATTGGTTAAAAAGTTAGCCACATAGTTCAAAGGTAAGTTTTTAACTACTGAATACATATAATCAAGAGATCGACCAGCTCAAAAACTAATTCTTTTTTCTATTATTTATTTCTTAATAAGTATAATGGGTTTTTTATTTTTTGTTATTAGGCATTTGATATTGAATATTTGGTGCAATTGGTAAAAAGAAATTGATGAAACATATAAGATTCTAAGCAGCCAATTGGAGGTTATGGAATAAGATTCAAAGCAACTGTTTCTCCATAAAAATTAAAAAATTTGCTTTACTTGACCTATAAATTTTCAAATGCATATTCGAGTCCTATATCCCACCATGACTAATAAGATAAAATTTATAAACTTATTTTGAATTGATTAATTGGTCAAATTGTGCTTAAGTTCATATCTATAGGTGTATGTATACACCAATTGGAAGTTGTGCAACCTGGAAATTCCAGCTCGAGTGTGGGGTGTGGACATACTGTAAAGTGAAACTAAATTAAACTAGATATTATAGAGAGTGGTAAATATAAAGAATTTAGTATGCACGTGGAGTAGTAGCTGGTACTGGTAGCTAGGTAGGCTCCTAACAACTAACAATCCGAAAGCAGCACTGAAATCCACTGTAGAGAACAATGCAAGTACGCTCCAACTGGGCATCATAATCAGTGTAACAGTGTATGTTCATCATAAATGTATAATTTTAATAAAATTTTACTATACAAATAAGAACAACCGTTATAAAAAGAACAGCGACTTTTCTTTTAAAATAAGAATAATTCTATCTTTATTACTATTATTATTTTTGAAAACACTATCTCTATTTTTTTAATTTCTAAATTTATATGTATAGACGCTTAGACCATCTATATTGGTTTTTGAACAGATTGTTAAGCGCCAACTAAAAGAGAAGAGTGGAAAAAAAAAACAAGAGAAAATAATTAAATGAGGGTGGTTGTCAGTTGGCGACCACCCTCAACGCGCCCATTGAGCGCTACTGGTGCGCTTAACGTGCACCGGCTATAGTTTTTTTTTTTTTTGGGTGGAACCCATAATAGGAGACAAAGACTAGCAGTCATTGCAATACTTTTTTTTTTCTTTTCTCTCATTTTCCTCTCTCTTTCATATATAAGATTAACAACCTCAAAAATCTATCCAAAAATTACTATTGTGGTTGTCCTTAGTATTTTGTTGTTTATTTTCTTTTGTTTTTGACTGGGATTTTTTTTAAAAAAAAAAAAAATTCTAAAGTATTTCGCCTTTCTACAAAATAATTTTTTATATATATATATAAAATGCTGGGGAGTATGCAACATTCTCCTTTATTTCATTGTTCTATGTAATAATAGTGTCAGATCCAAAGTGCACAAGAGTCGAGTTACTCCCATCTCCCAATCCTCTGTAGTTAGTATACCTATGCATGAATAAGTACATAGCACAGAAGTAGTAATATAAATAATGAAACATTCTGTATGCTTTGAAAAACGATTAGAGTTTTTTTAGTGGGATAAATGTCATAAAAGGTCACCTCTTTTTGATGTAAGACTAAAAGACAAAATGTCAAATCCAATTTGATAATAGTCAACGAAGATCAAAAGTGTATCTCATTTGAAATTTCTTGTCGTAGTATTATTATTTGTATATGCTATATCTCTATATATGTATAATTGAGCTGGAAACCCAACGATCCACAGGCTGATTGGATGAATTCTATTGTCGGGCAGGAGGGGCCTACGGACGAATAGCACATGCGTTTGCTAACACACACTTCCAATTCCCGCCTATCCGTTTCTTGTTCATTCCATCTCTTTGTTGGATGGAAACTTGAAAAAGGTAAAAAGCCTCTTTCACAGGTACATCACACAGATCACCAAAACCCACTTTCCTCCCCCCTTTTTGAGTGATTCAATGAAATGAAAAGTTTGCTTTAAAGGTCCCAATCTTTCGCCTCTCGGGCCAGAAGAAAAAGAAAAGAAACGGCTTTCAAGGTTTATCATAATACCCACCACCACCCATACCCCAACAAAATCAACTTTCAAATTAAATCACATCGATCAATAATTGTATCGCAATCAATCTTTTCACAACTTCAGCTTATTATCAGTAGTAGAAGCTTCTTAAATCTCAATATGATTTATAGGCTCAGATCTACGCAACAGACTTGCTTGCGTAAAAGTGGGATAGAGTTGGAATAATGCATGTACACATGCATTACATAATCTAGCTTGGCAGCTTATTATAATTCAGGCAAAGCAGCGCGTAAATAAAAGGGGAAAAAAGAAAAACAAACAATTATAGTGTGACCGTACCATGTATTATTTGAGTGGTTCGTTCTATTATTAGGTGGGTCTGTGACTATCTGAGACGAAAGGTAAAGATGGAGAGCAATGCGGATCGTGTTATCGTTTAGACTGACATCAATCCCAGCCTCATCATCACAAATTTTCCAGACTTGGTTTTATGGCTTCAAACGAACCCACTGGTAGCGCCCCTCCAATGGCACATCCTTCACAATATCGTAGTTGTACCTGCATTGAGAAGGACAACGATCACCAGTAGTTCTACAACAGCAATATTATACCAATTAAGTCATCAAACTGCACATGATAATGATCCGATTTTACATTAATTAATTTCATTGTTTTTTTTTTTGAAAGGATTAATTTCATTGTTAATCAATCAAAATATGTAAAATTATGTGAAATTTAATTTGTTTTGCCAAATATTTGAAACATTTTTTAAAAATTTTATATTATTTAGCTTTTCAAGGCAGTGTAGTGTAGTACTGAAGGTGAAGCTGAAACGATAAGATAGATGATAGAACATGTATGTGTAATGATAATAATTCTGATCGTGCGCACTCGCCGTCGCAGCTTTTAATTTTATCACTTACTTTTCCGCGAATCTTTTTTGCACGTACTTTTCCGTCGCGGAGAAGAACTCCTCGATCTCCGCAGCTGATGGCGTCTTCGCGGCATCTGCAGGTTTCCGACGAGAATCCGCCTCCGGTGACTTCTTTTTGGCGGTCGATGATGAGGACTCCATTTCTGCTATTGAATCTCCGCAAAGCTCGCTTGATGGAGGCGTCTCACTACTACAAAAAAAATAACAATAATTACTTCTCCATTTAATATGAGAAATTCAGATATTCTGAGAATATAAAATGGCTAATGGCTTTTAAGTTTATCATCTCAAAGTATCAAACATACATGCTCGCTGTAATATGATGAAAAATCAGAGAGAGGATCGGAGATGCATGAGTTTATATAATATAAAATATATATATATATATATACCTCATTCCGTTGTTCATAGAACCTGAATTGTCAGCTACGAACTCTTCATAATCCTGAAATTCAAAACTTAAAACGAGAATTAATTTCTAGCAATCAAAACGCGATGAGAAACTGATGAAATTTGAAACAACAACGATCGAGCTGAAAAGTAAATGCAAACATAAATGCTGAAGTACGTTTCACCTTCGCCTTCAGATCTATGTTTCTCAAATCCTCCTTAACGGACTCGCTTGATTCGCAACTCGAACATTTCGACGTTACAGCTTCACAAACAACCGCCGGAGAAACCGAATTATCCGACGACGCAACCTCATCTCGAGCTCCATCATTACCGCATTGAGAACTGACCTTCCTTCGTTTGCTCGACGAGCAGCAGAGCGAAACCTCCGGAGCTCTCGACTTCAAACCAGCTCGATTCCCGCCCGTCTCCCCCATTCCCTCAGGTCTTCTCAGGTACTCTTTCATCTCTGATCTCTAGAGTCGTCTAGCTATGTTCGTGGATACATACTGACACACACGTATATATATATATACACATACACATGCAGTTAATGAGTGAAAAGTGAAGGTGAGAAGAACATCGTGAGCTTAAGGCCAGGGGGAATGATCTGAGGAAAACGGGAATGTAATTTCTAATTACAGAGAAAGTGTGATCGGAGGGCGGAGATTAAGAGAGGCCGTTAGTGTTTTGGATCGGAGCAGTTCCTATTCTGGGGGTGGAGTGAGATGTGGTCCATGCTCCGTTACGGTGACATAGGCACATGGGAATGCCGTTAGCAAAGATCTTGCTGTCATGCGAATATGATTACGATTCAGGTGACTACGCCGTGAAGTTGTAGGAGGTAAAAATTTAAATGAATTTCTACTTTTAGAAATCTATATTTTACCTCTTCAAAAAAAGAAATCTATATTTTACTTGTCCAAAAAAAAAAATCTATATTTTATTTTCTTATTAAATTTTTGTGGACCCCTTTCGAAATAGATTGTTCATTTGTTAGGTAAAAATAATTAAATAAAAACACTAATTATCATCTTAAAAGAAAATTTAAATTTTGAAATAATTTGAATTTAAATTTGAATATACTTTAATAAGGTTCTGCCAAATATGTTTGAAAGACAATGGGTTTGGTTTTGGACATGATAAGAAAAATCAGTTTGTTCTCGTGGGCTAAAAATGGGTGGGTATAGGATAATAAAGTGATCGGATAAATGGACATCTATGCATCATTTAGGTGTATTTTGAAAATTCGAATTCATTTTTCAGGTTTCTCATGTTTGACAAATGGAGAAAAATGATGGTCAATGAAAAATAAATTACGGTAAAAAAAAATTTGTTATGTTTTTTCGAAAAACAACTTCCCTTATTTTTAAAGAGAAGTCATTTTCCAAGCATAAGGGTCTTCATCTTCTTGCTGTCAAGGGAGAAACCAAGTTTCTTCATCTTTATTGTTGCGACTTTTGTCTTCATCTTTCTTGTCGTCCACCGTCACCGGAAATGATTTCTGGTTGTGGGGACAAAAACTACAGCAGGAAAGGATGCAGATATCGCATTGGAAACCAGAGAAACAATATCTTTGGTTTCCGAAGCCAGAAACCAGCACAGTTTTTGGCTTCGAAAATCAGTGCTCTGGTTTCTGTCGAAAATCAAATGTTTTTTTTTAATAAATAACATTGTTTATGCTGAGCATTTTTTGTTAGGCATTATTTTTATTGAGAATATTATTAATTATTTTCTGATTATATTTAAAATTGATATTATTATTATTATTATTGTTGTTGTTGTTGTTATATTCTTAATAAAACAATTAAAATGTTTAATTATATAATTATGTTCATTTTTTATTTTTAAATGAACCAAACACACTAAAATAATTTTTCAGAATGCAACCAAACAATAGAAACAAAAATATTTTTTGAAAAATGACTCATTTTTCAGAAGTTATTTTTCTAATTTCAAAACACGCATTTAGAGTACAAATTGCAAGTGGCAATCAATTAGGTGTGAGTACTGAGTATTTGCGTGGGCAGTGAGACAAGTCAATGTATTGTTGCGCACGGGGTAAATATATAATTTACTTCGCTCGTGTTGCAACAAGATTGAACAAGAACATTCAGATATGAGAATAATATTTTGTTAGGAAACTAGAGCAACCTCGAAGTTAAGTTGGGAATATATTAAGGCGTCATGTTTAATCAACACTGCCTTAAAAAGCGATTTCTAGAGACGAGGCAATCTGTGACTTTCGGCACGCTTTTGACGGGTAACACAAATTTAACTACGCTTAATTTGCACCAACCAAAATATTGGCGAACCTGTCTACAACGCTCAGACCAAAGAGACTAGAGAGAAGAAGAAGACGAAAGGTTGTGTACTGTTGTATCGAAAGTGGGTCTGAATGTGGACACGCAACCACAACCTTATAGATTAATTACGGATAAGGAAGTTGAAAGATTCGAAAATTTAGGGACTGATAAATTAAAGTGACGAACGAAATGTTGCCTTGCACGCATGTGAATCAAGCTGAGCGTGCGGGTGGCACGCGTGGTTCCCCTTTCTTTCCTCTCGATAAGGCTTCACGTGGTCCTATATTTGTAGTTGCCATTATATTCTACTTTTAGTCATTTTTTTTCAAATCATCCTTCTTTGGTTCTTGTATTATTGTGGCATGATCATTTTTTGGTCCTCCATCAACAAAACCGTTTAAATTTCGTAAAATACAAGGGCATTTAAGTCTTCAATTATGAAGTTTTTTTCAAAGAAATAAAAATAAAAATATAGCGGGTAAAACACTTTGTATATATAAAAATGATCGAAATGGTCTTGTATTTAATGATATGTCAACGATTTTGTTGACGGAGAACAAAAAATGGTCATGACACAATAATACTATGATCAAAGATGAATGTTCTGAAAAAAGATTAAAAATGGATTGACACTTATAAATCTAGGACTAAAAATGAAATTAGCTCTATATTATAAAGTGGGAGAAAGAAGGTTCCAAAAGCAATGCGGGACAACAAATTAAACAAGGCAAATGAGCCTTCTTTTTGAAAGTTTTCCAACAAATTTCATTAATGAAACCCCCCCAACTACTATTCAATGGTGTGCTCAAAGAAATAAATTAGTTTAGATCGGTTGTGCATACCTAATTGGCAGGACCACAATGAGATAACTAGTCTAGGTTGTCTATAGTTAGTCAACTCAAATAAAAAATGTCAATTGGTCACTACTTTTACAGCTGAACTTGTAACTTTGTACTTAATAAGTTTGACATTTGGTTAACTTAGCTGGGGGGATATCCTCCTTTTTGAGATGTGCATGTGGTAGATGAATACGCAATATATTTCAAACGAAAGTAGTATACGGAAGCTGTACTGACTCCATTAAGTTGGCTTTTAAGCAAAGCCAGATAGCGGTTGGGAAAACAATTTATTAGAATAATAAATTCGCTAATTAAAAGTCATTAAGCTTATCTAATTCCCCACCTGTAACTTGATTAAACCTGTACTGCAAGCTGGGCAGCTGGCATGAACGATGATTATATTGAAATTTTGAAATCGACCAGCCAATTTGAAAGAAGTGTCATCATACGTTAATGACCCAATTTAATACGGAGTATATATATATATATATATATATATATTTATTTATTTATTTATTTATTTATGTTTCGATGAAAAAACAATGTTAATTAATGGATAAGTAATTGTTGTACAATGCACATTTAAAAATGTTAAATTGTATTACTAGTTATTGATTAACTTGTAAAGGGATTGATGGTGTGATTAAATGATGTAGTTAAGCAAATACATATGAAAAATGATAAAGATCTATTTGGTAAATGGGTGTTAGTTGTTAGCTGATTGAGTCAATTAGAAAATATAATTTGTTGATAACATTAAGTCCTTAACTGATTGTAAAATGTATTTGGTAAATTAGCTGTTAGCTGATAGCTGTTTGGTATAATTTCTTTTCTAAAAAGATAATTGAAAAACTTGCTTTGAGCAGTTTTTTTTTTTAATTTTAACATTTTGGAGTTACAAAAAGCTAATTAATCAAACACTTATATTATTTTTTTAATCAAGTCAAACATTTAATAGTGGTTAAATAAGTCAAAATTGACTAATTAATTTTTTGTCAAGAGTTAGTCCCAGTTTGGTAAAATAATTCTATCCGCCAATTTTGACTTATTTGACAACTATTAGATGTTTGACTTTGTTCAACAATCAATATGAGTGTTTGATTAATTAGTTTTTTGTAACAACTTATTGCTCTAAAATGTTAAAATTCAAAAAGTTATTCAAACTACTTTTTGAACTAGTCAAACACACTAACCCAATCAGCGACTACAACTAACAACCATTTACCAAACACCCCCTTAATGTAGTTAATTCATGGCAACTACTTTTTGGTGCTCGAGTGAATGCTTGGATCAATTCAATAATACTCTGCAAGTGTAGCAGAGAAACCTTGGATTCTCCGAGTAAGCTGAGAGATGGTAACGGCACACCAACTGATCTGACGAACCAATGGGGTGTAAATTGGGATTGGAAGATGAGCAAAGAAATGTTGCCTGCATATATAAACAGCCAAAGTAACCACCCATGAAGCAAGGGCTGTTGTCTGTTGCATGTCCGATGATATATTATAGTTGTCCTGCAGCCCAGTGAACACTTCACATGTTGCATATCCCCCCATGTTTCTAATTCTTACCCATTTTCATCGCATTCCAATGTTACGTCCACATCTATGCATTTTTAATAAGTTTTGACACACCTTCAATAGTAGTAATTCTGTACTTATGTAGTTGATAATGTTAATTGTTGTATGATGTTACATTAGTTTAGGCGTATAAGTATGAGTAAAAGAAGGAGAAACATTAAAAATCAACAACAATGGAACATGGGATGGATCGAAGTCATAAAATTTTGAAACATATTGGTTGGTAAAATAGTTAGCCTATTTGTCAATTTTAGTTTGTTTGAACACTATTAACTATTTAACTTGGTTAAACAACCAATATGAGTGTTTGATTAATTAGCTTTTTGTAACTGTTTATTGCTTCAAAACAACAGCATTCAAAAAGCTGCTCAAAGCAGTTTTTTCGAACATTATTTTGTGAAAGTCATTTTGTATGTAATCAAATATCAACCGTTAATTTACCAAACGTTTTTCTACAATCAGCTTATCAACTAATCAAACCTATGGGTGGTAATAGGTCATGCCCCTTCATAGGGGCCTATGGCCTGGCCTATTTAGTAAAAATGCCAGGCCTATTTAAAAGCATATTTAATTAAATAGGCCCATACTTATATGTAAAGGTCTGCCCTATGAGCCTGCCAGCTTGGCCTATATATATTATCCTGAAGCCGCGACTTGTTTCATTTTATGTTTGAATACTATTGTTGGTTTTTGGGTTTTCGGGCCCAAGGAGGTCCAACACAACCTTCGGCTGGTGGATACACCTTTCAATAAAGTTTGCTAAAATAATATGGGCTCGATGATTTTGACGTGGAAACCGAAAGGAAAACCACGGGCCTTTTTGGGTTGTGCCAAGCCTAACTCCACTATGTATTTTGTAGGTGTCTTTGTACATACTTGTAGGGCTATTCTCTACACAAAGTGTTGTGTTTCTAACAATATAGCAATAATAATATAAAGAAGAGTGATGGAATGGTGTGGAAGAGTCCTTCCATGTGTATGGATGAGTGGTGGAGCCTTCTTGGTATGTTTTGGAAGGAGGCCTTCTTGGGAGAGTGATAGTAGTCTTCAAGTGTGTAGGAAGAGTGCTTGGGAGAGTCCTCCCATGTGTGTATGAGTGAGTGAATGGATCCCCCTCTTCTTGTCTTCTCCTCCTTTTTATAGCCAGCCCCATCCCAAAAGTGTCCGTTGGACCATTTAGTAGGGTAGTGATGGGTGATAATTAGGGGGTTATGGATAATGATAATAATGGGGTAATAAGTGGGAGGTTAGGAATGGTGGGGTAGTAAATAGGACTTTAAGGGTAGATAATTAGGAATTTAATAGGGGCTAACGGCTAGTTTTAGGCCGACCCTCTACCCGTGCCGATCCCACACTCGCGCCGACTCCCGGGTTGAGCCGACTCCTCGGCTTGGCCCGTATCTCTTTTGGACTTACTCCATTTTTCTCTTGGGCTTTGCTTCTTCTTCTTGGGCTTGATCTCTTTTCTTCTTAGGCCCCAAGCCCACGGGATTCACACCCCATCAACTATTATGTTTACATTGTTATTATTATGCTTCTATTGTGAATATATGGTTTTGTTATTGTTAAACTTGTGTTGAACTTTTGGATTATGGACTTGTGGTTATTAAATTTGTATTGTTGAATTTTGTATTATGAACTCCTACTTATTATTATTAAACTTGTGTTGTTGAATATTGTATTATGAAATATGAACTTATAGTTTTGTAATATTATGGTTATTAATTGATTGTAATTTTATAGTATGATACATATATTTGTGGTAATATACTTATGTATGTATTAAGTATTTTTTTTTTTGTAAATTTTTTTTACATGTATACTTTAAAAGGCTTTAAAATGAAGGCCTTAAATAGGTTCAAAGCCTATTTAGGACCCACTTTGAAACTTTTTTTAAAGGCTTATATATTAAATAGACTTTTAAAAAGGCTTCAAGTCAGGCTAAGCCAACGGCAGCCTCAGGCTTGAGCCTAACAAAAAGCCTACATACAGGGGCCCAGGCCTAGGCCTAATTTTCTAAAGACTTGTTTAGCTTGGCCCATTTTCACCCATAGTCAAATTCACTAAATCAATCAGTTAACAACTATTTATCAAACATCCCCATTATCTGTTGATTATTGATATTTAATTGGGCCGAAGTATACAGCAAAAAATTTTCAAGGCAATTAGAGATGATAATGAGGCGTGCTTAGAATGAAACATAACAGTACTAGCAAGGTATCGCATATGTAGCTTCCAAATGAGAGTACACGGAGGACTTAGTTACAAACCACACCAAGAAAGAGCTTTTTTATTAGATAATAATTATTATTATTATTATACATGGATTTGATTACATACTAATCGCAAACCGGAATAACAACAACACTAGAAAAACTCTTATGCATCAAATGTGAAGTTACACTGCACCTAGAGGAATTGAAGATAATCACACTAAGATCAGATGACTTTGTGTGATGAGCTCCACCTCTCATTTATTTATTTAATTTATATTGTGAAATTGATTGGATCCTGCAGGTGTGATTATGGGTTGGAGTGGTGGAAGAAAGTGGCGAGGTTTTTAAGCATAGCCATGGCGTTATTACAGGTGGGGTTAGTCAAGCTGAAAATATGGTGTTCCCCGTTAACCTCCACCACCTCCGCCGCCCCTTGCCACCCACTGCTAACCAATGCTTCCTTGTACTGCCACCCTCTGTGCTTTAATACATCTTTCTCTGCAACATAAATTAGAACTCTCTTGCAACCCAGTTTTCCCAGTTCCGGGTCCTTTGCGGGGTTGATACGCGGGTCGTCAAACCCCGTGGCTTCCGGCAGGGCGATTTTCCACATGGTCTCCACGAACGGGGTGATGAACTGGATAGCAGCTTCATCGCCGATCTTTTCCTCTCCCCAGAAAACCGGACAGTTGAAGAAAAGTCCGTTAATTTTGACGCCGTCCACGCTATTATCCTCCGTCGACCCGACCCGCAGTGCCAGGTGGTGTGATATGTTGGCGCCGACGCTGTCGCCGCCGAGGAACACTCCGCCGTCGAAATCAGCGTACTGATTCAGCCACTCCTCGCCGCCGTCGCCGGCGGCGTGGGAAGCGGCCCATTTCAGAGCCGTCCACCCGTCGTCATACGCCGCCGGGAGAGGGTGCTCCGGGGCCAATCTGAAATCCACCGACACGATCAAGACGTTGGCCTCCGCCGCCAGCAAGTTGAGCGGCTTCATGTACGTGGGGGAGAAGGCGGACTCAGTCACAAACGCGCCGCCGTGGAAATACAACAAAAGCGGAAGTTTCCCGCCGGTAGGAATTTTGGGCGGCAGGTAGAGCCTAGCAGAAACTTTGGGCTCCGGAGAAATCACGACGTCTTTGCTTAGCACTCCGGTTACGGCGTCCAAGCCGGCCGGAACGACGTCGGTGCCGGATAACCTTTCCACACGGCCGTCTTTGTGTATTTTCATTAGACAGAAAAGATCGTGGAGTATCTCATCGGAGGAACCTGTCTGACCCATTATATATGTTCAACTAATGGATGCACTTCAATTTCAAGATGACAATATAACACACACACATATATGTATATATAAGAATCTGCAAGGATGCAGATTGCTTAATTAGCTTAGCTTGACTATTAGCCATGCAGCGTACGTACGTTATTTTATTCAAATCTAAACGATAATATATAAAATTGACCGGACTACGGAGAGGTGATTGAGATTGAAATATTTTATCATGGACCAAATTATTAAACAAACATGTACTAATATTTTTTTTTAGGCCATTATTGAATCAGAGTTGAGATTGTAAAATCTGGTGTAAAGTAAGTTTTGGAATGGAAAATACAACTCTCCTAATGAAGGTCATTCAATCCGAACTCGATGAAAAATTTTGGTCTTTGTCTTAACAGGGATGGGACGGAAACGAGGAATGAGTGCAGAGATGGAGAGAGTTTTTCCATTTCCTCTAAAGACAATGACGGGGTGAAGTGACATCCCATTTTAAGTCCAATTTGGAATCTTAAAATTATATATATTATATTATATTGAAAAATGGTTAAATAAGTACTTAAATTTTATACGGAAAAAGTAATTAAATATATAAATTTTAAAAGTGTGCAATTAAACACATCAATAGTTATTTTTGTGCATTTGATCCTAATAGTTGATTATCCACCGTAATAACAACTATTTAGGGCTCTAACGATTGTTGAACAATTACCCGTCCCGGAACTCTAATTAATGTGCATGATCTATGGGATTTAGTTTCTTAATTTTGGTGAAGTACCGTAATTAGATTTTGAGTTGTATTTTTATAAATAAATTGAAAAACAATTTGTAATAAGAGGTTCAAAATCCTTGCTCAAGGCAATAATAGTCTACAACAAATATTTTTTTATATTCCCTACTTGTTTTTTTAATTCCTAATCGGTTGTGTTGAACCATAATCGATGGCACACATCGAAAAGCCAATAAAGACAATTACAAATGTAACTTATATGGCGAGTGGATAGAAATAAAATCTACCTAATACACATTACATATTTGAGTAATACGTGATTACTAGATTATATTCCATCATCATCATCCAAAGGTTAACTATCACCCAGATTTTATATCAAATTAAAGATGTTATATTTTATATGTGGGTTTTAAAAACACGTCACAGAGCAGGGTCAATTCAAGATTTTATATTTATAATTTCTTGTCAGTTAAGCTTATTGTAATCTATCCTTAGTCGGGTTGTCTTAGTTTTATGTGCTTATTATATTCTTTAATAGGGTAATATGAGATAGATATTAAAATTATACCTAACCAAGTACTATGTTTTATGTTTTTTTAAAAAAAGTACTATGTTTTATAATAAGTTGCAATTAATAGCAGGGTTGTAAAAATCCCGCCTAGGCACCGAGTAATCGGCGCCTAGGCGCTGGGCGCCCATAGGCCGTGGCGATTTCCGCCCTAGGCTCCCGCCTAGGAGACCGGCCGCCTAGGCGCCCGCCTAGCGCCTAATTCAGCCGCCTAGCGCCTAACTCGTCCGATTACGCCGAGTTAACTCGTCAATTTCTGTCGAGTTAGTCGAGTTAACCCGACCAACTCAACCTTGCTAATTTTTTCCATTTATATGACAAATACATATAATATGACATATATACACTTGTAGACTAGTTTGATACTTTCAATCTTTGGATGATTAAAGTATTTGGGTATTTCATTTGAGTTTTTATTTTTTTAATATTCTTTTGATGTTATGACTTATGAATTGTCATTATGTCATTTATTTGGATGTGTTATTTGATTGAATGTTGAAAACAGCCTCATTAAAATTGTCAAATTGCAAGTCTGCTACTGTTTTTTTCGCGACCGCCTAGCGCCGCCTAGATTCCGCCTAGGCGCCGACTAGGCCGCTTAGGCGCTAGGCGCTGCCCGGGCGCCCGACTAGCGCCCAGCGCCTACTGCAACCATGATTAATAGTGTAGATAATGAATACACTTCAATATTAAATTATTAAGCATTGTTTTTGGAAGATTGTTTTTATTTACTTATTAGAGTTAATACCAGCCAGGGTCGTCCCTCGAGTTGATGGTTTTGCCATCTATAGTTCTAAACTTTCAATTGTTTCAGCGTAGTCCTTTGACTTTTAAAATTTGACCTTCTCTGCGTTCCTCTTTAGTTTCTCTTGTTTGCACCGTGAAATTCAGGGATAGAATGGTACTTTTTCTTAGTTTATTGATTTTTAAAGGAAAAAATAAATATTTAATTAAAAAAAAAAAAACTTGTCGGAGATGAAGAAATCGTCTCCGGCTGGGTCCCTTCGTCTCCATGGCCAGAGACGAAGGTACCTTTTTCATCTACAGCCATGGAGACGAAGGTCCCTTAATCTCCGTGTGGTTGTAACAAAAATGAGTGATGGTGAGTGTATGGGAATGAAATGTCACGTAACACACAATCACAAGCAACTAGGCACTAGCACTAAACAATCAACAAGAAGCTAGACAAACCATAGCAAGGTTGAGGGTAGCAACGGTAACTAAACAAAGTAATATAATGTTTCTAATTCTTACCCAATTTAATCGCATTCCAATGTTACGTCCACATCTATGCATGCATTTTGAGTTTTGACACACCTTCAATAGTTGTTATTTTGTACCTATGTAGTTGATAATGTTAATTATATTATATGATGTTACATTAGTTTTGGCGTATAAGTATGAGTAAAAGATGATGTTTTATGTATGTAATTATACTCTTAGTACACGAAATATCGCTAAAGTTTCAAAGGTCGAAAAGTACTAAGGATGTTTTCGAAACGAATTGTTCCCCTCTTTTGTGGAACAATATGACTTTTATAACGCTAGACTAAGGAACACATGCTGAAATTCCTGCTAACGAGAGGTACGTGGTGCTCATCTACATGTCAATTAAGTCGGTCACGTCACGTGTTAATGCTAAAAGAACACAGATAGATGTGATGACTTAGAGGACGCTTCACGTGCTAACTATCTGTCCGGGTAATAAGGTCCATTACCAACAACAATTAATAATCAACAACAATGGAACATGGGATGGATCGAAGTCATAAAATTTTCAAACATATTACCTGTTGATTATTGATATTTAATTGGGCCGAAGTATACAGCAAAAAAGTTTCATATGCCAAAGTCTGAATTTGTCTCATTAGGGGCTTAGTGGTTGCAATTAGAGATGATAATGAGGCGTGCTTAGAATGAAACATACACTTAATTTATCAACTTCATATATAATTTTAAATATTTATTTTCACTTATCATGTGATATGTATTCTTATTCAATTTATATATATATATTTAAAATGATTATATAAATTTATTGAAATACTTAGTACTAATTAATTTATTTAATATATAAGCTCAATTTCTTGACTTATTAGGGTATCCTCACTAGTAAATTTTGGTGTGATTTTTGAGAGAGGATGAAGAGAGAGAATAAAATGTTATGTTACATAAAACATTGGTTTTTGTCCGCTTAAGTGGGGCCCACCAAAAAAAAACATGGAGGACTTAGTTACGAACCACACCAAGAAAGATTTTTTTTATTATTACATAATTATTACTAATTGCAAATCAGATTAACGACCACACTAACAAAAAAAAAAAAAAAAAAAAAAAAAAACTCTTATGCAAATGTGAAGTGTTACGTTGCACCGAGAGGAATTGAAGATAATCACACTAAGATCAAAAGACTTTGTGTGACGAGTTCGACCACTTATTTATTTATTTAATTTATATTGTGAAATTGGAGCAGGTGCAGGCGTGATTAGGGGTTGGAGTCGTGGAAGAAAGTGGCGAGGTTTTTAAGCATAGCCATGGCGTTATCACAGGTGGGCTTATTCAAATTGAAAATATGTTCTTCCCCTTTGACCTCCACCACCTCCGCCGCCCCTTGCCACCCACTGCTAATCAATGCTTCCTTGTACTGCCACCCTCTGTGCTTTAATACATCTTTCTCTGCAACATAAATTAGAACTCTCTTGCAACCCAGTTTTCCCAGTTCCGGGTCCTTCGCCGGGTTGATACGCGGGTCGTCCAGCCCCGTGGCTTCCGGCAGGGCGATTTTCCAAATCGTCTCCACGAACGGGGAGATGAACTGGATAGCAAGGTCATCGCCGATCTTTTCCTCTCCCCAGAAAAACGGACAGTTGAAGAAAAGTCCGTTAATTTTGACGCCGTCCACGCTATTATCCTCCGTCGACCCGACCCGCATTGCCAGGTGGTGGGATATGTTGGCGCCGACGCTGTCGCCGCCGAGGAACACTCCGCCGTCGAAGTCAGCGTACTCATTCAGCCACTCCTCGCCGCCGTCGCCGGCGGCGTGGGAAGCGGCCCATTTCAGAGCCGTCCACCCGTCGTCATAAGCCGCCGGGAGAGGGTGCTCCGGGGCCAATCTGAAATCCACCGACGCGATCAAGACGTTGGCCTCCGCCGCCAGCAAGTTGAGCGGCTTCATGTACGTGGGGGAGAAGGCGGACTCAGTCACAAACGCGCCGCCGTGGAAATACAACAAAAGCGGAAGTTTCTCGCCGGCAGGAATTTTGGGCGGCAGGTAGAGCCTTGCAGACACTTTGGGCTCCGGAGAAATCACGACGTCTTTGCTTAGCACTCCGGTTTCGGCGTCCAAGCCGGCCGGAACGACGTCGGTGCCGGATAACCTTTCCACACGGCCGTCTTTGTATATTTTCATTAGACCGAAAAGTTCATGGAGTATCTCATCGGAGGAACCTTTCTGATCTGCCATTCTGTTCAACTAATGGATGCACTTCAATAGTTCAATTCCAAGATGACAATATAGAACACGCAGTCACACACATATATGTATATATATATAAGAATCTGCAAGAATGCAGATTGCTTAATTAGCTTGACTATCAGCCATGCAGTGTACGTACGTTATATATTCTATTCAAATCTAAACGATAATATAATTGGCCGGACTACGGAGTAGGGAGTAGATTGAGATTGAAATATTTTATCGTGCACCAAATTAAACAATTAAACATGTACTAATACTTTTTTCTTTTTTGGTAGGCCATTATTGAATCAGAGTTGAGATTGTAAAATCTGTTGTAAACTAAGTTTTGGAATGGAAAATGAGACTCTTCTAAAGAAGGCAATTCAATTCAAACTCAATGGAAAAATTCTGTATTTGTCTTAACAGGATGGGACGAGGACGGGAACGGGTGTAGAGATAGAGAGAGCTTTTCCATCTCCATAGGGACAAGGACGGGGTGGCATCAAATAGGGTTTATACCAAAAACGTATTTAAATCTTTGAATTTAAAAAATGTGCAATTAAACACATCAAATAGTTTTTTTTTTTTTTTTTTGGTATTTGATCTTAATAGTTGGTTATCCACTGCCCACTGGTAATAACAACTAATTAGGGTTCTAACGATTGTTGAACAATTACCCGTCGTCGGAATCCTAATTTAGTTTCTTAATTTTGGTCAAGTACCATAATTAGATTTTGAGTTGTATAAATAAATTGAAAAACAACTTGTAAGAGGTTCGAAATCCTTGCACAAGGCAATAATAGTCTACAGCAATTTTTTTTATTTATTTCCCTAATTGTTTTCTTCTCCCAAAAGTTGAATCCCCAGTCCTAAGGACCCCCTATACCCCGGCCCGACAGAGCATTTGGAATGATGTAAATTACAGTGACTCAATAGATCAGCAGACAGGACCAAATGTTTGTGTGCACAAGGAATCTGCCCATTTAAAACATAATTCTCACACTGTCGCCGTCGAGGTTAGATCTCTAATTATTATTATTTTTTATTTCCTAACCGGTTGTGTTGAACCGCAGTTGATGGCGCAAATCAAAAAGCCAACAAAGACAATTACAAATGTCACTTAAATAGCGAGCGGATAGAAATAAAATTCACATAATACACATTATATATTCGAGTAGCACATGATTACTAGATTCCCTCATCATCATCCAAACGTTTAGCTATACCATCCAGATTTTATATGAAAGGTGTTATATTTTATATGTGGGTTTTAGAAACACGTCACATATCAGAGCCTAGTCAATTCAAGATTTTACGTCTATAATTTCTTGCAAGCTAAGCTTATTGTAATCTATTCTTAGTCAGGTTGTCTTCGTTTTATGTGCTTATTAAATTCTTTAACAGGGTAACATGAGATAGATATTAAAATTATCTATCACAGACCTAACCACGTACTAAGTTTTATAATAAGTAGGAACTAATAGTGCAGATAATACACTTCAATAATTTATTAAGCATTGTTTTTATTTACTTATTATTATATGGTACCTCACGTCTCACGGTCTAGCATATTTTATTGCTAGAGCTTCGTACCTAAAATGGGTAGTGGAGGTACATAAATCATAATATAGTTGAAAACGAGTTTTAAAACGTAATCTTAGGAAATAAGAAATTATGAATAGTTGTAAATTATTGTCCGTTACGTTACGCCCACAAGTAACCCAAATTATTGATCAAGATCGACCATGATTATTGAAGAAAGTGGTCAGCATTTTCATGGTTGCCACAACAACACTGGACTGCATGCACAGCGAAAAACAGATTTTGACTTTGTGTTTTTTTTTTTTTTTTGGGTTAATTAAAAGCTAAATTAGGCCCAATTGTCTTTATGTATATGAAGTAGGTAGGACAGTGCAGTATAGGGCAAATTATGTAGGGCAAATTATGTTGTGCATTCGAATGTACCATGCTGTGTATGGTGCATACAGATGCAAAAATGACATCGTTAACGCGCATCTTACTTAACAAAAAAAAATCAGTTTCGATTCCCAGCAACAACACTATGTTGTTTATTTTTTAGTTTATTCATTTTCAATTTTTAGTTATGAAATTATGGATGTGTAGGTATGTAATTCTGGATTTATAGTTATGAAATTATGGATGTGTAATTATGCATGGTGTAGTTATGCAATTCTGGATTTTATAGTTATGACGTTATAGATGTATAGTTATGCAATTCTGGATGTATAGTTATGCAATTCTAGATGTATAGTTATGAAGTTATGGATGTGTAGTTATGCAATTCTGGATTTATAGTTATAAAATTATGGATGTGTAATTATGTAATTCTGAATGTATAGTTATGAAATTATGGATGTGTAGTTATGCAATTATGATTTTTTTTTTTAAGTTAGATGTCAAAACGACGTTGTTTTTGCATCTGTATGCACCATGCACGGTGCATACGGATGCACAGCATATCGATTGGCAGTATATATAAAGTTATGTATATATAAATTAGTTGGAAGAATGTATATATAAATTAGACAATAGTATTGTGTACTTGAGAAAAATAATATTATATAGAGTTAAGGACCGATTTGGTCCATTGACTATAGTAAAATTATCGATTTGATTCTTGATTATCATTCTTACCAAATTATGTCCTCAACTTTGAAAATCTTACTCAATTTTGTCATCTGTTATCATCGTACATCTCAAATTGATTATCATCCTACGGCTCAAAATTGACGGGAGGACGAAATTGGGTAAGATTTTTAAAGTTGATGACTTAATTTGATAAGGATTATGGAGCAATTTTTTTAAAAAGAAAAATATTATTTGTACTCCACGGTCCAACACGTATAACCCATATCCCACACGGGTTATACGAGCCGAGTTGGAAATTTTTCGACCCAACCCTTTAAAATACGGGTTAACAGACCCAACCCGTCGTGTTGGGCTCGTTTTAATAGCTCTACACCTTGCCAATGAAATTGACTTGACACGTGTACGATTGGGCTATGAAGTTGTGTAAAATTAATATAAAAAATCTTTAAATTTAACTAAGACAAAAAATGCCAACTACGTTACCATGTATTGACACCTCAGTTATCATTCTAAATGAGTAGTCACAAGATCGAACTCCGGTGGTGGGGGCATTCACTCTTCGGGTTGAAAAAAGTTTGAGAAAGTATAGAACATATACGATCATGTACTTAAAAAATCAAGAGTATTTAAAAAAAAAAAAATTAGGGTGTGTTTGGTTCGCACATGAGAATCGGAATGGGTATCAAATACTTGGTAATGGTAATGAGTTTTGGTGAAAGTATTTAACATGTTTGGTAGTAGGGTGGAATGGGAATGGTTACTTATAGTAGTGCTTGAAAATGAATAAGGGAATGAAACTCTTATTGTATTTGGGTATGAGTTTTTCAATTGATGGGGTATTCGAAACCCATAGTAGTGTTCTAAAAACCTATCAACCAAACAACAACAATCACTTTCATACCCATTCCTATGGGCAAAATCCACCAACCAAACACACCCTTAGGGGGCGTTTGGTTCAGGTTATATAACATAACCAAGGGAATGTGACATTCCAAAGCTCAGATTCCTATGTTTGGTTCATATTATCTGAGGGAATCTAACATTCCCAAGGAATGTCACATTCCCTCCACATAGGATTTTGAAGGGAATGTGATTCCCTTCAATTTCTTAGGTTATGTAAGATAACCTTAGTTATGTTAGAGATATTATAGTGTGTGTATAAAAGATAACCCTAAACCAAACATGATTATATAACATACCCCAATTTTAACCAAACACAGGAATCTAAGATTCCCAGTAATCTAACATTCCCAGCAATCTAACATTCCCTAAGGTAATCTGACATTCCGTGAACCAAATGACCCCGCGTTTGGTTCAGGTTATATAACATAACCAAGGGAATGTGACATTCCAAAGCTCACATTCCTATGTTTGGTTCACATTATCTCAGGGAATCTAACATTCCCCAGGAATGTCACATTCCCTCCACATAGGATTTTGAAGGGAATGTGATTCCCTTCAATTTATAAGGTTATGTAAGATAACCTTGGTTATTTTAGTTTATCACACACACACACACACACACACACACACACACACACACACACACACACACACATATATATATATATATATATATATATATATATATATAATTATTTTTGTAATTATATATTTTTTATTTTAGGTTAGCATATAAAAAAAATTTTGTTTCTCAAGTTCAATATTTTAGTTAATATTTTAAAATCATGTAATTATATATGATACTGTTTATTTATTTATTTTAATTTTTAAATTTATTAAAATATATAAAAATATGTTAAGGATATTATAGTGTGTGAATAAAAGATAACCCTAAACCAAACATGATTATATTACATACCCCAATTTTAACCAAACACAGGAATCTAACATTCCCGGTAATCTAACATTCCCAGCAATCTAACATTCCCTAAGGTAATCTGACATTCCGTGAACCAAACGACCCCTTATAAGGAGTCCATTGCCCAATATGTATTTTTAGAATTCACTTTTACAAATTTTCATTGTTTACCTATATAATGAAAATACTCCTTCTCATATTAAGATTTACCATTTTACATTAGATTAATCCTAAGCTTTAAAATCCAATCCTAAGGTATCCGACTGGCCGAAAGTGATAAAATTAACATTATTAGTTGCGTCCTTTACATTGTGTTTTATTTACTACTTATCCTTACTCTCAAGTCTCAAGTCACGAAAGTGAATTGAGAAACTGGCCCGTTGTTAGTGACTCTTTAACATGCTATTCCATGTGATATCGCTTTTCACTATAAATGAAATACTTCATCAAATTGTTAGGACATTTAAAAAAATAAAAATTATTAACTATCTAATATAAAATAATACGATTAACTATTAACTATTCAACATTTTCTATCTCTTCACCATTCGATTATGTAACCTTCTATTTTGCAGAGCTACAGAGATGCATTGAGCTATATGCTACTTGACATATTTTAATATGTGAAAATTATGAATAATGTAACGCACCAGACATTAAATATTATTAATTGATCTCCAATAAAATGAAGCATGGCAGCAAATTAGGACCAGATACATGACAAACTAACTCATGGAAGCACTAAAATTAAAGACAACGGCTTAAGGAAATGGGTAGTTGCGGTGTCATGTATGGTCGGGATCGCATCCATGATTCTATGCCATGGGTTGGACCTCAGCTGGATCTTATTACCTAAACAAAATCGGTGATATTGTGTGATGGGCTCGACCTCGATTTCATTTATTTATGCATTATGTATGTATTAGGGGTTGTGGTCTTGGAAGAAAGTGGCGAGCTTTTTAAGCATAGCCATGGCGTTATCACAGGTGGGGTTATTCAAATTGAAAATATGGTGTTCCCCTTTAACCTCCACCACCTCCGCCGCTCCTTGCCACCCACTGCTAACCAATGCTTCCTTGTACAGCCACCCTCTGTGCTTTAATGGATCGTTCTCTGGAACATAAATTAGCACTCTCTTGGACCCCAGTTTTCCTAGTTCCGGGTCTTTCGCGGGGTTGATACGCGGGTCGTCCAGCCCCGTGGCTTCCGGCAGGGCGACCCGCCAGATGGTCTCAAAGAACGTGCAGAAGATCGGAATGGCACCTTCATTGCCGATCTTTTCCTCCCCCCAGAAAAATGGACAGTTGAAGAAAAGTCCGTTAATTTTGACGCCGTCAACGTTATTATTCTCCGTCGACCCGACCCGAAGTGCCATGTTGTGTGATATGTTGGCGCCGACGCTGTCGCCGCCGAGGAACACCCGGTCGAAGTCAGCATACTCCTTCAGCCACTCCTCGCCGCCGTTGCCGGCGGCGTGGGAAGCGGCCCATTTGAGAGCCGTCCACCCGTCGTCATAAGCCGCCGGGAGAGGGTGCTCCGGGGCTAATCTGAAATCCACCGACACGATCAAGACGTTGGCCTCCGCCGCCAGCATGTTGAGCGGCTTCATGTACGTGGGCGAGAAGGCGGACTCAACCACAAACGCGCCGCCGTGGAAGTACAACAAAAGCGGAAGTTTCCGGCCTGCAGGAGTTCTGGGCGGCAAGTAGAGCCTTGCGGAAAGTTTGGGCTCCGGAGAAATCACGACGTCTTTGCTCAGCACTCCGGTTTCGGCGTCCAAGCCGGCCGGAACGACGTCGGTGCCGGATAACCTTTCCACACGGCCGTCTTTGTATATTTTCATTAGAGTGAAAAGATTATGGAGTATCTCATCAGAGGAACCTTTCTGGTCTCCCATTCTCTTAATCAACTGATGCCGCATGCACTTCCAAGATGACAATATATATATAGAACACACAGACATATATATATATAGAGTTAATACCTAAAATCGTCCTCGACTATAGTGGTTTTTCTCAATTTCGTCATAAACGACTTTGGTGACCTAATATCGTCCCAGACTTTTGTGTTTCGCTCAATTTAGTCCCAGACTTTTGTGTTTTTGCTCAATTTAGTCCCTCATTTGTTATTATGTCCATTTAGTGTTAAATAAATAGACAATTCAGTAATTTTAATATTGGCATCTCTTTACTCATAGACATGTGAACTGCGAAATCCCTTTTTTTTTACGAAGTACTCCCAGAATTACTCCTAAAACTGCGAATATAAAATTTGATTTGCAGGTCCGGGAGTAATTCTGGGCGTAATTCGTACAAGAAAGAGGAATTTCGCACTTCACAAGTTGAAAGTAAAGAGAGATCAATATTGACGTTACTGAATTGTCCCTTTATTAACACCAATTTGACGGAATAACAAATGGAGGACTAAATTGAGCGAAACACAAAAGTCTGGGACGATATTAGGTCACCAAAGTCGTTTAGGACGAAATTGAGAAAAACCACTATAGTCGAGGACGATTTTGGGTATTAACTCTATATATATATATAGAATCCAATGAGACCCTTAATAAGATGAGATACTGAGATCCCATCTCAACCATTAAAAATGTTATAATTGACGGATAAGATTAAAAGTCAACTAGAATTGATGGATAGGATTCAGAATGCAGATTGCTTAATTAGCTTATGGTAATCGATCCTCGATCGTATCGTTTTTATTTGTTGTTCTTATTATATTCTTACACATGATATCACATGATAGATATTAAAATTATTTGTCTGCACTGACTTAATTAGTTCAATAGTTCAGTAGGCAGTATTTGAGAGATGAGACTAAAATTTGAATCTCGGGACAGGGTGAGATTATGTTCAAACTGGACAGATTCTATGTGCGTATCAACATTTAACGTTGTCAGCTAAGCCATTAAATCGCCGTGATTTGTTATTAAAATTATTTATCACACACCTAAACATGTACTATGAGCTACAATTAAGAGTGTAGAAAATACCATACACTTCAATAATACTCCGTAACTTATTAAGCATTGTTTTGATTTATTTATTTATTATTATATGATAGAAATCAATAATAATCTATTAACCGTTGTTTTATTTATTTATTATTATATGGTAGAAAATACTATACACTTCAATGGATGGTAGCATGAGATAGATATAGAAATTGTCTATTGCACATCTAAGAACGTACTATGCTTTATAATAAGTAGCAGTTAATAGTGTACAAAATACACTTCAATAATAAATGATTAAGCATTGTTTTTATTTACTTATTATTATATGTATGCATGGTACTCAGCTCATGGTTTGACATATTCTATTGCTAGCGCTTTTGGCCTAAAAATTACTTGTAGTAGTTGAGGTACATATATTTGAAAATGAGTTTTAAGACGTAATCTTAGAAAAATAGAAATAGTTGTAAATTATTGTTCGTTACATTACATGGGTAGGGAATCCATAATATTGATGAGATTGACAATGATTGAATAAAGTGAACAAATTTTTCACCATAGCCATGGCATTATATTTTATATGTGGCATTTAGAAAAACATAGAGGCGTTTGGTAAATAACTGTTAGTTGATTGTGTTAGTTGATAAAAAGATGTTTGGTAAATTAGTTGTTAGCTGATTACATGCAAAATGACTTTTTAAAAAATCTTATCAAAAAACCTGCTTTGAATAGCTTTTTAAATTTTAACATTTTAGAGCAGTAAACTGTTACAAAAAGCTAATTAATTAATCAAACGCTTATATTAATTATTTAACTAAATGAAATAGTTAATATTGATCAAATAAGATAAAATTGACTTATATGTTACCAAACAGGACTATACATAAACTTAAGATTTCACATTTGTGTTTTATTGCAAGCTTACGGTAATTTATATTCGATCGGATCATCTTCATTTTTTGTGCTTATTATATTCTCACACACATGATATGATAACATGAGACAGATATTAAAATTGGAGGTGTTTGGTATATAGTTGTTAGTGAATTATGTTAGCAGGTTTGATTAATTGATAACATTAGTTAGTTGTAGAAAGATATTTGATAAATTACATGTAAAATATTTTACATTTAAGGGTAGGTAGATAATACACTTCAATCATACTAAATTATTAAGCATTAGCGATAGAATATCAGGAATAGTTGTCCATTACATTACGTTACGCCAGCCAGCAGGAATTGGAAGCTCAAAATATTATATTATATTGATGAAGATGGAGAATGATTAAAGAAAGTGGCCAACTTTTTCACCATAGCCATGGCGTTATCAGACGTCGGAGTGAACAAATTGAAAACGTGGTTTTCACCTTTAGCCTCCACCACCTCCGACGACTCTCCTTGCCACCCCTGTTTAGCCAGCTCCGCCGTGTATCGCCGCCCTCTGTGGCGTAACGGGTCCTGCTCCGCAACGTAAACCAGGACCCTGTTACATCCTAGTTTCGCATATTCCGGGTTCTTGTCGGGGTTCAACTGCGGGTCGTCCAGCCCCGTTGTTTTCGGGTTCACGAACCGCCAAAGATTCTCGACGAAGGTCGAAACACCCTCGTCGTCACCCTCACCGGCGATCGGATCTTTTCCCCAGAAAAATGGGCAGTTGAGGACTATGCCGTCAAGTTTAACGCCGTCCAGTCCCTCCAGCCCGACCCGCATGGCCATGCCGTGTGCTATGGTGCCGCCGGCGCTGTCGCCGCCGAGGAACACGCGGTCAAAGTCTACGTACTCCTTCAGCCACTCCTCGTCTCCCCCGCCGTTAGAATGGGCGGCGACCCACTTGAGCGCCCGCCACGAGTCGTCGAAAGCCGCCGGGAGAGGGTGCTCCGGGGCCAACCTGTAATCAACGGAGACGATCACGGCGTTAGCTTCCGCCGCCACCAAGCAAAGATGCTTCATGTAAGTCGGGGAGAAGGCGGATTCAACTATGAACCCTCCGCCGTGAAAGTACACCAAAACCGGAAGCTTCCGCCCCTCACCGGCGCCTTTGGGGAGGTAAAGCCTAGCGGAAACCTTCGGGTCCGGAGAAATCTCGACGTCCTTGCACTTCACTCCGGTTTCGGCGTCCACGTCGGCCGGAACAACATCGTTGCCGGAAAGCCTTTCCACTCTGCCATCCTTGTACACTCTCATTAACGGGAAAAAATCATGGAGAATATCCGAGGAATCCTCAGATCCCATCGTACGGTGTCGATCGAAACAAACTCACAGATCGACGAGAAGAATTTCGTGTTGTTTCTAAATACCAAAGCTTAAATTAAAGATCGATCGTTGAATATTAATTATAGAAGGCGGGACAGGATAAAACGACGCAAATCATATCAGAGTTTTTAATTTATATACGACACGCATTCCATGCTTATTTGTCCCGCTTTTATTTGGACGACATTCAATTTCTTTTTTTTTATCGCAAAAGGCTGAATAATAACACTTCTCCAACTTAATTATATTCAACATTTTTTATTCCTTTCACTGTTGTTCTAGTAACTTCTCCAAATTGTTTATTCCATTATGGATCGTCACGTCCGGTGCCCACAGCCCATATTTTAAATGTTAATATCTCAATAACGTAACGCACTAGACATTAAATATTTATCTCCAAATCTCCAATATATTGTTCCCAAATATTGAATCCTATTCCAAAGGCCTTCGCCTCACGCTCTAGTCTGACAAAGCATTTAAAAAAGATGATGTAAATTATGGTAACTCAACTAAATACATATATCGGACTTTTGCTTACTTGTTTACTGTGCAAAAATAACCCCTCACTTTGAGAAGTTGCTCTCACGGGTGAGACTCGATTCCGGATCATTGTTTTTAAACTTTACTCCTGTGACCACATCTTTAATATAATGATGAGAGCAAATTGGGACCAGATACATGGCAAACTCATGGAAGTTCACTAAAATACAGAGGGTTAAGGAAATGGGTTGCTGTGGTGTCATTTTATGTATGGTGGGGGTCACTCTGATCTGAAATATAGACAAGAAAAAATGATAATTTTAAGAAAAGAATCTGGCAACGTTGCAATCAATGGAGGAAAACATCATACATAAGCCGAAACCACAAAGGCGGCTTAATGCACATAAAGTCTTTATTAGGAAGATGATGGCAGGTGTCATGCAAATTATAATGTTGTCTGTTTGGAAACGTGTCATGGAGCTGAGTGGATCTAGAAAGACTGAAAATGACAATAACTTGTGTGACAGTGAAATCTAGAAGGACTGAAAATGACAATAACTTGTGTGACAGTGAAATTCATGAGACAAATCAGGTCAAGATAAAATGTTTATTACTTATATTTAATAGTTCAAGATTCTATTAAAAAAAAAACATTCTTTCTTGATTTTACTAGGTTATATTATGGACTTCATAAACTAGTCCTAGATTTATAAAAAGATATAATTTTGAGACTCAACATCAAAAATTTAAACAAATGGCCACAATATGAACAAAATAGTGAAGATTAAGGTTGATTATTGATGAAAGAGACAATCTTTTTCATCAAGGAACGAGCTTGGTCACAGTTTCTTTTGCCCAGAAAGAAGACATGAGGCCTCCTCTTAGAATACTCGAGCTCCAATTCTCCTCTCCACTCACTGTTCTTGAGTGCTTCATAGTATGTGTTCCCGCTCTCTCTGACGAAATCCCATTCCGCTATACAGACCAGAACCTTGGAACACACGAGCTTCGACAGCAAACCAGGATGAGCTGCCGGATTAAACAACGGATCCTCCGGACCGGTCGTGTCGGGGAAAATGTATTCCAAGAATTTGTTCTTCTCGTGATTCCCCAAATATGGATGCAGAAGTATCATCCCCACAGGCTTCGGGGAAATTTTTAGATTTTCTTCGTCGCCGGCTCTCACCATCATGTTGTGTGCAATGGTGGCGCCGGCGCTGTCGCCGGCGAAGAAAACCCGGGAGAAATCCGCGTGGTTTTTCAGCCACGGTTCGGTTCCGGATTTCCCGCCGTCATCCTCGGCGTGTGTCCATGCCCATTCGATGGCCGACCAGGAATCATCGTAGCAGGCCGGGAGCTTGTGCTCCGGCGCCAGCCTGTAATCGACGGAAAGGGTGACGGTGTTGGCTTCCGCCGTTAGAGAGTGGAGGAAGTTATCGTACTTTTCGTCGGATGCTGAGCCGAGGCAGAAAGCGCCGCCGTGGATGAAAATCAGCAGGGGGAATTTCCGGCAGTCGTCGTCGGCGGTGATTCTGGGAAGGTAGAGGCGTGCCCAGACGTTGGTTTCCGGTACGATGACGACGTCTTTTGATCGGACGCCGGTTGTCGGGTTGTCGGTCGGCGGGACCGGCTTATAATTCAGAAACCTCTTGACGCTGCCGTCCTCGTAAACGCGAACAATGGGGAAGAAATCGTGAGCAATTTTAGATGAACTTGAACCCATATCTGATCTGCTAGCTAGCTAATTTCCAGATTGTTGAAGATGGATCGATGGAAATGGTTTCTGAATACTCCGATATTTGTAACATTAAAAAAGACAAACATAAAACACGCTAGTTTCATCCTTAGTGGCTAAGGGACCGTGTTAAACAGGATCCCAACTCCCAAGACAATCCTTATAACGTACCGTTCACATTACAAGTTAAGATAAATCATTAATCGTGATATAATTTTGACTTTTGAGTTTTATCATATGTGCTTTTAATCTTAATCTTTTAAATTTATGTATTGATGTGATAAAGTGCTAAGAGTAACCCCAATAAAAGGATTTTCTATAAATCCTAAGAGTTTTACTATATGTATTCTCTAAATTTTATTCTAGATTTGGCTGATTCTATTCAGTTATTTTCTTCATGTGAGCCCCAATATAAGTGTCTATAACAAGATGTGTGGGAGTACAAATTAGGAGTACAATATGAGAGTACATGTAGCATTTTTTGCACAAATTTTCATGTGGTCTTGCCTTGTAGTTGTTGGAACTTGGAGGAGAAAAAAAGGAAAGAGAGAGAGAGTGTGAGAAGGTGTGTCCCGCAAACACCCAAGCTTTTGCATAGGTGTGGGGTCCACGATGGCAAGAAAGAGGTGTGCCTCATGCTCTTCACCTTTTTTATTTATTTATTTTTTCAAAATTTAATTTTTTTTTTTTACATGCCGTCTCATTTTCTCTTCCATAATCACACTTACAAAAACTACATCAAAACCCTACTATTGAGAATACCCTAATAGATTATTTTCTTATGTGACAATGTGAGTCCCTGTACAAGTGTGTACATCCTTGCACATGTAACATAAATGAAATTTGAGTTAATACCCAAAATCGTCCTCGACTATAGTGGTTTTTCTCAATTTCGTCCTAAACGACTTTGGTGACATAATATCGTCCCAGACTTTTGTGTTTCGCTCAATTTAGTTCTCCATTTGTTATTCCGTCAAATTGGTGTTAAATAAAGGGACAATTCAATAATGTCAATATTGATATCTCTTTACTTTCAACTTGTGAAGTGCGAAATTCCTTTTTCTTGTACGAATTACACCCAGAATTACTCCCGGGCCTGCAAATCAAATTTTATATTCGCAGTTTTAGGAGTAATTCTAGGAGTAATTCGTAAAAAAAAAAAAAAGAATTTCGCAGTTCACATGTCTATGAGTAAAGAGATGTCAATATTAAAATTACTGAATTGTCTATTTATTTAACACCAAATGGACAGAATAACAAATGAGAGACTAAACTGAGCAAAAACACAAAAGTCTGGGGCTAAATTGATTGAAACACAAAAGTCTGGGACGATATTAGGTCACCAAAGTCGTTTAGGACGAAATTGAGAAAAATCAATATAGTCGAGGACGATTTTGGGTATTAACTCAATGAAATTTTCAATTTAACTATCTATTAAAAATTTTAGAATAAGTTTCTTTACACTACGTTACATATAAAATTGAACATGCTAATTCAAACTTAAATAATTCAATCCATTTTGATTAGAAATAATGCAAGATTTGATTTATTGACGAAATGATTGGACTAACGTAACCACCGACCATGTCATGCTTAATTTTATTGCGTTACTTTAGGAGAAAATAGACATACGGCAAATACGGAAACCATGAATACTTTGGGCCAATGGGCCATAAGAGAAGTGAAAGTCGAAGGGAAAAGGGAAATGAGATAAATAAAAAGAACAAATTGCACTTTTGATCCTGTGAGTATTAGGGTACTGACAATTTGAGTACGTGACTTTCAAAACTTTCAATTTAAACCTTTAACTATGCAATTATTGGCAGATTTGGTCCTCCGGGCCAAATTGCCGGCCAATTATGGCCGGAAAAACATAAATTGGTTCAAATTGTTTTTTGACGAAGGTAAAATTGTCATTTCATTCCCTTCTTCTTCCTTCTCCATTTCTCCTTCGTTCTTCTTCTTCTTCTTCTTCGTCCCGGTGAACTTGATATGCTCCAACAACAGCGCCGACAGCGACGCCATGAATTCCGGCAAGGAGCCGTGCAGTTTGTTGAAGTTGAGGTCAATCGCGATCAGCTTGCTGAGAACGCCCATGTCTTCCGGGACTTGCAAGCGCGTGAAGTTGTTGTGCGAAAGAGTGAGCTTTTGGAGTGATCGGTGCCGGAAGAGCGCCGCCGGCGCTCTTCCGGATAACTCGTTGTGACTCAGATCTAGAACTTGTAAACACCTCAGCTCTGATACTGCGTTTCCGGCAATCCTGCCGGTTAAGTAGTTGTTTCGAATCTAGAGTTGGACGACGGACCTCGGGAACACCGCCGGGAAGCGGCCGGAGATTGAGTAATCACTCAGGTCTACGAAGTACAGGTTTCCGAGTCGACTCAGATTTGGTAACTCGCCGGAGAGATTATTGTTCTGAAGCTCGAGTTTGTTCAGTCTCACCAACCCGTTGAAACTCGGTGGGATAGAACTGGTGAGCGAAGAAGAAGAATAACGAAGAAGAAAGGGAGAATGAAGAAGAAGGGAGTGAAATGACAATTTTACCCTCGTCAAAAAATAATTTGAACCAATTTATGTTTTTCCGGCCAAAATTGGCCGGCAATTTGGCCTGGAGGACCAAATCTGCCAATAATTGCATAGTTAAAGGTTTAAATTGAGAGTTTTGAAAGTCACGTACTCAAATTGTCAGTACCCTAATACTCACAGGATCAAAAGTGCAATTTGTTCTAAATAAAAATAAGAAGCCCATTACATACATTGAGGACGGCAATTTATATACTAAAGTTCATAATTTACTTGCTGAATGTTTATAATTTAAATTGTGAACATTCAACATGTAAATTGTGAACATTAAATATATAAAATTGTAAACATTCAGTATGTAAATTGTGAACATTTAGTATATATATATTTTTTGGTACGTTTGACACCTTCAAAGAGAGCGGTTATCTAACCCTTAGGTTAGAAATATTCCTCATGTCAGCATGTATGAGATCATGTGATCCTTCCGGAGCGTCTTCAAGAGTGGTCGTTCCTCAAGAGGTACTTTGACCCAAATTTGCAAGCTAATCCACACATTTGTTCCTCTCCCAGCCTATGTGGGAAACCCAAATGTTATTAAAACGACGGGCTAGATCCAAGCAGTCCTTGATGAGAGCACTCACATAACTAGTTGAGGTCGAGTCTTTGTTCATGAGATATTTAATTGTATTTTTATAATTGTTTTTGTGAAACAAACATCCTTGAAGGAATGGTCAACCCTCCTAGTGTCATAGAAGGTGCAATTGGCAAATGAACAAAGGTCAATAAAAGATGTTTTCAAAAAAAAGGTCAATAAAAGATAATTACAATCCGTACATTATTACAATTTAATTATCATATCCTAATGCTTTCCAAATTGGCAATTTTTTTAATAGAAAAAAAAAGAGAAAAGAATTAATATTAACAGATAAAACTAGTGAATGATGTCGTATTTGACGAAATCAACACCTTCGAAACGGCGCCGTTTGGCCCTCTGCCATTCCTCGCCCTGCTGCTTCACAATTCACATGGTTCCGGATCCAACCAAATTCGGTGTTGCAGAGAGAGAGAAAGGCGTAAATCTAAAGGGAAATCTTAAGTGAAGGGAACAGCGTGGCAACGGTCGAAGAGACCATTAGATTTCATCATCAAATTTGCTTTTTCTTCACGAGGAAAAGCTCGCAACTTTTACTCTCTCTATCTATCTATCTCTCTCTCCGCATATACATACAACCCACACTTGTATGCATGCCTGCTGAAGGGGGCGTGGGATTACGATGCATACAGCCAGAAAGAAAAGGGGAGAAGGGTTGAGCAAAATCTGAGCTCCCGGGAATTCGTTTTCTTTGTGTTTTTTGGTCTTTTCGCAAGCGCCAACAATGGCTGACGATCTCTGTTTCTTCTCAAAGGTGCGTGTTTTTGTGTCTTCCCCCATCAATTTCTATTTGTAATAATAAATATTGTTTTCTTGTGGCAAAAAGTTTGTTCCTTTACTCTCCTTTTTGGGTTAATCACGTGTTTTCCCGATCTGGGTATCTTAGAAATGCTTGTATTAGTTTTTGCCTAAAAATTTCATGGCTTTTGTGCAATGCAAGAAACCCCGGCCTGAAGTATGTGACCTGGAATCTGCAGAGTAAATCACCAGGATTTGGATTATCTTTGATTATTCTAAGGCATTGTCTGCATAGTTTCAGAGCTCTCTCAGTTTGTAATTAAGATGAATTTATTTGTAGGGATATTAGAATCAAGTAGATATAAATACATAAAAGTAGATTGAGTAAGCTTAAAGAGTATGCTTTTCCAATCTCTGTGTGTTTGGGGTTGTTAATGAGCTTAACCAAGCTGTGCCCTCTTGCAAAAATTGCATTTTTGGTCTTCCCGTTATAATGCTATTCCATGAATTATAAGTGTGATCATCGTTATGGGCAAAGTGGCGATTTTAGTCCCTTGAAGGACCAAATCAGCCACTTTATTAAGTGGCATATTGGTGGCAGAAATATTCTCCGAGGGATTAAAATTGCCACTTTGGGATTAAGTCTGTACAATTGGTATAACTGAATGACCAAAAACGCAAAGTTCCCTTTATTTTTTGCAAAAATGAACCTGGGGTTCATGTGTCTGAGCTCTTCTTGAATGACTTCTATACTCATGGAACTGCCCAATCAAAATAAGCTTTTCAATATCTGTCTTTGGGGTTCTTACTGAGCTTAAGCCAAGCTGTATTATGGTTTCTTTAACAAAAATCAAGCTCTTGTGCCTCAGTTATGCTTGAATGACGTTGTAAATGGAACAGTCAATCAAAATAATCTTTGTTTCAGGATACGTTGATAATAAAGCCATCAAAGAGATCTCCGCTGCTATTGAGAATGTTGGTCTTAATTTTTGTAATGGTTTGTGGAGTCTATATATGTTCAGTCTGTCTTAAGCAAACGGGTACCCGTGCAACTGGAGGTTTATTGAATATTGGTGTTGTGGAGAAGCCATGCGAGCCACCTAATATTGAGCCTTCAGAAAAACCTTATGTGCACTTCCCCAAACCACAGACTTTTAGCCGGTAAGATGCCTACCTATTACATTTTGGGTCGCTACTTTCTGATGAAGTTACTG